GTGCCTGGGTAGGGGATCTCCATACCTGCAGCACCAAGAGGACCACACTCCACTCATGCCGCCCATTGTCAGCCATGGACACTGCCAATTCGTAAGCCAGTTTTTGTGCTCAGTCCTGACCTACGCTCCAGGACCTGTCTTCCCAATCTCTTCTTATAGTTTAGGCCTTACTCCCTACACAGCCGTTCTGTCTCTGAGCTTTTCCAGTTGCAGTCCATTTTGTATGCTGCCCTAAGTTTGATCCTCCCAGAAAATGGTACCCATGACTCTTCAGCAATTCTCAGTTGTCTACAAGGTCAGTGTTTACTAATGGGGGCATCTTCCTAATACAAACTCCTACAGTGTGACCGCCAACTGTCTTCACACACTTGGGTCCCACGATTTGTCTTCATTTATCCCACCTCTCTGGTGTAGTGACATACCTGTGCTCTAGATCCAGCCATCATTCACCCACCTCTGCTGCAAGAGGGCCTGGGAGAGGGAGGAGGTAGGAGGGCACTTCAGCTTCCTGCTTTAAACAGCATAACAGACTTGGAGTACTCTTGTGACGTAAAACTTTAAAACATAAAAAGGTATCTGTGCACGTCCTCCTTTTCTCCATCTACTCCACCTACAGTGCTCCCTGCCTTGAGAATTCCTTTTACTTGTTTCTTGTATATTCTTCCAAGATATCTATGAAAATGTAACCAATGTATACGAAATATATATTCTGTCTCCCCCTTGCTATTTTTTTTTTTTTCTTTTTGAAAGATTTCAAGAGAGAGAGGGAGAGACAAAAGATCTTCCATCTGCTAGTTCACTCTCTAAATAGCTGCACTGGGCGGGTTCAAAGCCAGAAACACGGAGCTTCTTACAGGTCTCTCACATGGGTGCAGGGAGCTTGATAAGAAGTGCGGCTACCAGTACTCTACCCATAAAGAGGCTTAACTGACTATGCCACAGTGCTGTCCCCTGCACCTCAGTATTATATTATGTAAAAGTGTACTGTATCTACTGTTCTGTACCTTAGCACATAGAACACATCCTCATGTCCTCATTATTCTTTAATTGTTTTAGTATTCCATCATGTTCTTGTACTAACTGTTATTCATTCCGTCCTCTTATGATGGCCATTCGAGGTGTTCCCAACGTTGTGTTGTATCAGCGAGTAATCTGATGTCATATTACAAATGGAGAGAGATTATTTGCAAATGCCCCCCTTTTTTTTTTCTAAGAGAGAAGCATCTCCCATCTGTTTGTTTACTTCCCAAATGCCTGTGATGGCCAGGTAAGGCCCAAGCTAAAGCCAGGAACCAGTAGGTGGCAGAATGACAGGAACCCATCCTTTTTAACGATGCATGCTGCTTTCCAAGTGTGCGTTAGCAGTTGCTGGGATTTGAACCCAGGCACTCCAGGCAGCCCCATTTGGGTTTTAGGCATCTTAATGAGTGTCTTAGCCACTAGGCTAAAAACTGAACCATCTGGGTTTTTGATGGATAATTCCTTTTTGTTTTCATTTATTTGAGAGGTAGAGCTATCAAGAGATCGAATTGCATCTGCTGGTTCACTGCCCAAACAGTCACAATGAATAGGGGTGGGCCAGACTGAAAAGCGGGAGCTTCATCTAGATACCGCACAGGAGTGCAAGGCATCCAAGGATCTGGGCTGTTGTCCACTGCTTTCCCAGGTACACTAGCAGGACTGGAAATATAGCTGGGGCACAACCAGTGTCTATCTGTTAATCCTGACATTATAGGCTTAACCTGTTATGCCAGCTGGAGCACAATGCCAACCTCTTGAGGAATGATTCTTATATATCCAACAAACAGCTCAAATTCCTAATTTTCCCAACTCTTTTTTTTTTTTTTGGAAGATTTGTTTTATTGTTATTGGAAAGACAAATGTAAGGAGAGAATGAGACAGAAAGATCTTCTGTCCACTGGTTTACTCCCCAAATAGTTGCAACAGCCAAACCTGAGCCAATCCCAAGCCAGGAGTCAGGAACTTCTGGGTTTCCCACACAAGTGTAGTATCCCAAGGCTTTAGGCCGTCCTCTACTGCTTTCCCAGGCCACAAGCAGGGAGCTGAATGGGAAGTGGAGCAGCCAGTGAATGAACCATTGCCCATACAGGATCCTAGCCTAGGCAAGAGGAGAATTGGTCAATTGAGCTGTTGTGTCCTGTCAGTCTTTTCTGCATTTGTGTTTCAAATGTCTTATTCCCTCAGAAAAAAAATAGCCCAGAACTTACTGTGGTACCTTGTAGACACATCTACTCACTGATCAGATTTTCACATGTTACCGGTAGAGTAAATAAACCTGTGGATGTGAAAATAAGAGTCATATGCTTGCTCTGGGTAGTGGTTTACCAAGACAAGGCAGATGGCCCAGTGCAGGCATCACAAATCCAATTTAGAAATAATTATTGAGCATCTGAAATGTGTAAGGCATTGTACAAGAAGCTGGGGAGAAAACAGAACAAATAAGGCACAGAACTGTAAGTCTTTTCCCAAAGTGGAGACTATTCTGTAAATGTGGATTGTTTGGCTTATGTTTTGTGAATATTTTTCACAAGCTTCTGTAATTGGGGCCTGATGCACATACAAGTATATGGAAGTACACATATCCTAAGCATACAACTGGCATGTTCATGAGATAGGTGTTAAATGGTTTGGGATACTACACTTCAAAAATCCAGTATCTTCCTCTTCTGGGCATTAACTACCACCCAACTGTAACTCCTGTTTCTCTCCAATATTATCTGCCATTTGTGTGTTTTTAATTTTTCTTGATTTATTAAGATTTTCCCTTCCACTGATTGGCTCCCCAAATACCCACCACAGTCAGAACTGGGCCAGGCCCAAGTTAGGACCCTGGAACTCAAACCTGGCCTCCCACATGGGCAGCAGCATCTTGAACCATTATCCACTGCCTCCCGGGATCTGCATCAGCAGGATGCTGAGCCAGGATGTGAAGTGGCTCCAGAACTAGATGCCGGAGTCTGAACGGCTCATTCCTCTGTGTGAATAAAGCAGGAGGCATATGGAAAGAATGTTGGATCTTAAGGGCACTTGAAAAGAGCAAAAAAAAAAAAAAAGACCAACATTTTTTTTTAATTCAGCTCATTTTGTCCATTTTGTTTTGTCAAGATCTGTTGTATTGTATGTGTCTCCTTTTCTCCCAGTATTGGTGATTTAGAACTGAAGCATTTTTCTTTGTGTGATTAGAGTATAAAATGTAAACACCTAATGAATGTAGCTTCAGCACACCTTCAGAGCCATGACTCTGACAATGAAACCCAGCTCTAAAAATGTATATCTGATGTTATCACAGAATATATTTTAAAACTGGAGCCATCTGCCTTCCAAAGTTTATCTCCACTGCAGCTGCGCTCAAAAATACTTCTGCCTACACACAGGAACCATCACTTAAAAAGATTCTGCTGTTGATTCACCGTGCAGGCTCTCCAGGAATTATTCACACTCTAAAAATGCATTTTTAAAAATCATACATGCGTATGGCTTAAAAACAAAAACAAAAACTACCGCAGAATACAAAAGGCATCTGAGAAAATTTGAATCCCTCTTGCCAGAAACACCCACTCTTCCCGGTTTCTTGTGGATCCTTCTGGAGACACTCTCTGAAAACACACATGCAGGTGTGTGCAGACACACACACAGTCTCCCCTTTCCTGCACATATGGCATTGTACTTGCGTGTGCTTCTTTGCACCTGTTTGGTTTTCATCTCCACACATTTAAGGAAATTCTTTTTGACACCATTGGGTACCTCTGCACTGTTCTTTGGATATACACTGTTACAGTGTAGGAAAGATTCATGATTTTAACCAGTCTCCTGAGGTTTGCGATCTTTGCACTAGAAATAGTACCATCAAAATATCCCTTCCATCTCTGTCTTTGTGCTGAGTACACATATGTCTGGAGGATCCACTCCTATGTTTGTAATTATGGGGTCAGAAATATGTATTTTAATTTTACCTCCAGTGGCCCTGTTGGTATACCAGTTTGCATACCATGAGCGTATATAACTGCAGGTTCCCAGTACCCTTGTCAGCACTGTTGCTATCAACTTTTAGATTCTTAACAATCTGATGGATATATATGTATATGTCCATATATATAATTAATTTCATTTTATTTGAAAGAATTGGAGACAGAGAAAGATTTTCCATTTGCTGGTTCACACCCCAAATGGCCTCTATGGTTTGAGCTATAGTGGTCTGAAGCTGGGAGCCAGGAGCTTCTTCTAGGTCTGTCATGTAGGTACAGGAGCCCAAGTCCTTGGGCTGCCCTCAGGTGCTTTCCCAGGCTATTAACAGGAAGCTGGATCAGAAGTGGAGCAGCCAAGACACAAACTGGTGCTCATATGGGATGTTGGCACCACAGGTGGAGGACTAGCATGCTTTGCCACCATACTGCCCTCTCTCTCATGATATTGTGAATTCAGTATGTCTTTTACTTGTTAGTCATCATCATCTGCACTGCTTGTTTTTTTTTTTTTCCTTTTCTTTTTCCTTGCAGTAAAAGCAAGGCAGTGTTTACAGAGAGAAAGAAAGGGGCTGGTCTTATGGTATAGTGGCTGAAGCCACCTCCTGTGATACAGAGATTCCACGTGAGCGCCAGTTCGTGTCTTGGCTGCTACACCTCCAATCCAGCTCCATGCTTGTGGCCTAGTAGGGCAGCAGAGGATAGCCTAAGGCCTTGGGACCCTGCACCCACATGGGGGACCCAAAAGAAACTCCTGGCTCCTGGCTTCGGATCAACTCAGCCCCAGCTATTGCAGCCACTTGGGAAGTGAACCAATGGACAGAAGATGTTTCTGTTTCTCCCTCTCTAAATCTGTCTTTCTAATAAAAAAAAGTGAATACATCTTTTTTTTAAAAAAGTGAGTTTGGTGGCTTTAAAGACATTTAATTTGCATGGATTTTCTTTGCTGATCTTGGTTGGCTTTGGAATTCATGGAGAACTAACGGCCACTCGTTTGCACTGGTGCTTTTTCCCCAGATGAAGTCATACGGAAGCGCCTCCTCATCGACGGCGACGGCGCAGGAGATGACCGGAGGATTAACCTGCTGGTGAAGAGCTTCATTAAGTGGTGCAACTCTGGCTCTCAGGAAGAGGGGTATTCCATTTCATTGTTGTTTCTCTGCCAATGTTCTAACGTGATTTCACTAAGGCCCTGTCGGTATTTCAAACGTTTATTCACGTCACATGACCCCTGAAATCCAGTGTTATTTAGTCTAGAGTGGATTTCTCTGGTCTTCCTTGCAAAGGCTTACCTTAGACTATTATTATTATCATTTTGATGCTAATATGTTTTCATCTATTTGAAAGGGAGCTAGAGAGAGACACTCTGTTTGCTGGTTCACTTTCCAAACGTCTGCTACAGCCAGGGCTGCGCCAGGCGGAAGCCAGGAGCCTGTAACTTTCTCTGGGTCTCCCTTATAGGAGACAGGGGCCCAAGCCATCATCTGCTTGCTTTTCCAGGTGCATTAGGAGGAAGCTGGGTTGGAAGTGGAGGGACTGGGACTTGAGCCAGGACGCTAATACGAAACACTGGCATCCCAACTAGCCACATGCTGCTCCAATGCCCACCTCCACCACTCTGCATATTAAAACTTGCAGAAGGCAAAGTGCTAAGAAGTAGAAATTAAATTCAGGTTCATCAACTGGGTCACTTTTAACAGATCAGTGTTTAGCAAGACAAAATAAATCAAATGCTCCTGCTTGTGATCAAGTTAACAAAAAGCTGCTGTGGCATGTATATATTTACATATGTTGAGATAATGTATTATAGAATACATAAAGTCTTTTACCAGAGATTGTTCCTTCTTTGAATTAATAAACATGAATATAGTTTCTAAATAAAATTCACACAAATAGTTGTTTGAATTCTCTATTGATAAAAGCAACAATTCCATCTTGGCATTCAGCATTTTACGTTGGGAAAACAAGCACATAAGGAAGAAGGACTCCTGGTATGTTTGGTTAAGTCGCTTCCTTTGGTGCCACCATCCCATGCGAGTGTCAGCTTGAATCCTGGCTGCTCCACGTTGGATCCAGCTTCCCTATAATGCATCTGGGAGAGCAGCAGAAGGTCACACAAGTGTCGGGGCCCCTGCCACCCAAGTGTGAGTCCAGGGAAGTTCAGGGTTCCTAGCTATGCCCTGCAGGAGTAAGTCAGCAAATGCAAGATTTTTTCTCTGTGTGTCTAACTCTGCCAAATAACTAAATAAATCTTTGGTGGAAGGGAGGTGGCTGGGGAGCGAAAGAAGAAAGGAAGGAAAGAACAGATACTCTATTTCAAATCTAGCAAATAATTTTCAGAACTTAGTATAATGTCATTAGCAAGTCTTTGCTTGCATTTTAAGTAGTTCAGTTGTAGCAATTCACGTGCTTTTGTGTCCTTTCTCCCTTTTTCATAGCTATAGCCAGTACCAACGTATGCTGAGCACACTGTCTCAATGTGAATTTTCAATGGGCAAAACATTGCTGGTTTATGATATGAATCTTAGAGAAATGGAAAATTATGAAAAAATTTACAAAGAAATAGGTAAGGAAGCTGACGTGATTAATGTCTCACTGTACCTTTAATGTTTTATCGCTAAAGAAAACAGTATGTAAGAGAGTTTTTTGACTGGTGACAAAAGAATAATAATGACCATCTTAAAAAATAGTACAGTAGATTTTAACTATAAAAATAAGTGTTCTAATATGGCACAACACTTTGGGTTTAGCTATTGTTTCAAACGCCAGTGACTGTTTCATTGTCAATTGAACTTATTTACAAGCAGATTTAAAATCGGAAATGGATTGAAATTGTACATATTTTTATAACTATCTTATAAAACCATTTTATACAGAATGCAGCATTGCTGGAGCTCATGAAAAAATTGCTGAGTGCAAAAAACAAATTCTTCAAGCAAAACGAATACGAAAAAATCGCCAAGGTAAGGGTTTTAAAGGATCTAGTTTGCACATACTTTATTACTGACTGGTATTTCACACAGTGTTTAATACTGTAAAATCTACAGCCAGAATTAAGCTAAAATAAGTTGTGAATTCAATTTTTTACCACAGTATTAGTATTTAATATGGAAAAGGAGAATATGCTGAAGAGAGTTCTTGTTGAACTTGTGTTGATTGTCCAGACATTCCTTAAATATTTTTACTGTCTTCATATTTTTTTGCCTCCTTGCTACAGTAATGTTATGGTTGATTAGTAAAGCCAGGAACCAGAGACTCAGTCCAAACCTCCCAGCCAGTAGGTAGGGGACAAGCCCTGGACCACCTTCTGCTGCCCCCAAGCGCATGAGCAGAGGGCTGGATCAGAAGCAGATGAACCGCGGCCCGGACCAGTGCTGAAATGGGAAGCAGGTATCCCAAAGAGCCTAAACTACTGTGCCACAACTTGCCAACCTGGATAGAAAATTATGTTCAGTTAATGGAATAACTTTAGGAAAAACAAAAAAAATCAGTGGCTCGCATTGTGGCAAGCAAGTAAAGCCTCTGTTTGTGATACAGTCTTCTCATATCAGAGCACTGGTTCAATCCTGGTTCCTCCAGTTTCGATCCAGTGGCATGCTGATTTCTACCTAGGAAGGCAGCTAATGACAGCCTCAGTTCCTGGGCCCCTGCCATCACTGTGGGAGACCAGGATGGCGTTCCTGGGTCTGGGCTCCCATGAGGCCCAGATCCACACTTGGAGAGTAAGCCAGCAGATAGAACATCTCTTTCTCCCTGCCTCTCTCTCTCTGTCATTCTACCTTTCAAATAAATCTTTTAAAAATATTCTTATGATTTATTTTATTTGTATTGAAAAGTCAGATATACAGAGAAGAGGAGAGATGGAGAGGAAGATCTTCCCTTCCAATGATTCACTCCCTGAGCGGTCATGACGGCTGGAACTGAGCCATGCTGAAGCCGTGAACCTGGAGCCTCTTCTGGGTCTCCAACACGGGTGCAGGGTCCCAAGGCTTTGGGCCGCTTCTTGACTACTTTCCCAGGCCACAAGCAGAGAGCTGGGTGGGAAGCAGGGCTGCTGGGATTAGAACTGGTGTCCATATGGGATCCCAGCGTGTGCAAGGCAAGGACTTTAGCCACTAGGTTACCAAGCCAGGTCATTAAGTACAACTCAAACATTTACTGACTATCTAAATATTAAGAAAATTAAATGTAGTCCTTTTCTAATTTCATTTGTTTTTAAATTGAGATTTGTCCTTATAGTTTGTAAAAAGTTTTTCAAAATAATTTTAATGACAGAGCATTGGTCTTCCTATGATGTATGTTGAAAAACATAAAGAAAACCATAACGTGAAATTACATCTATGACATACACATGGAAACTGGAAGCTATTGAATTTCACACACTGAACTTTACCTTTCAATGACATAAGCAAGATAATTGAATTTTTCTTTCCAGAAGCTAGGTTTTGAGGAGTTTAAATTGGATATGATATTGTTTCTGTGGCCAGTTTATTATGAGATGTACATATTTAATATCACTTCTTAAACCATTAAAAATATGTATGTATATGTGCATTCTAAGAGGATCATCCTTTCATTCTTTCGTAAGAACAGTTTTCGGGAATTTCATGACTTACCTTGGAGGCAGCAGTGAAGTAGAAACAAGGACTCGGATGTTAGTTATTTCAAAGTTTCTGAAGTCTACGATGAGGATGTGTGAGAAATATAATTTGTTCTTGACTGAGGTCAGAAATGAATAGTAGGATATGCTGACCTCACTGTCCTTGTCCTCCTCCTCCCACTGTTCCTCCCCGTTCCCTCCTCTTGCTTCATCCTCTTCCTCCTCTTCTTAGCGAATAGTGAGTAAAGCCTTTTTTGGAATTAGTACACTAGATGATTGATTCAGTAGTCCTTCTCAGCCTAAATTAATTTATGTTTATGTCGATTTCTTTTTTTTTTTTTTTAAAGATTTATTTTTATTATTTTTTTCATTGGAAAGGCAGATATACAGAGAGGAGAGACAGAGAGGAAGATCCTCCGTCCGATGATTCACTCCCCAAGTGAGCGCAACGGGCCGATACTATGCCGATCCGAAGCCAGGAGCCTCTTCCGGGTCTCCCACACGGGTGCAGGTTCCCAAAGCTTTGGGCTGTCCTCGACTGCTTTCCCAGGCCACAGGCAGGGAGCTGGAAGGGAAGCGGGGCTGCCGGGATTAGAACCGGCGCCCATATGGGATCCCGGGCGTGCAAGGCGAGGACCTTTAACCACTTGCGCCACCGCGCCGGGCCCAATGTCGATTTCTTATATTCCTTCCAGGAAAAAAAAAATGTAAATGAAATAGAGAAGTAGAAGTTAGAATCCTGTGTAACACGTTTGGGGGTTGCATGTCATTCCAGCTAGGGTTGAGTCCATTTAGGTAGTACTCTCAATTTTTCTCATTCTGATAATACTCTTTTCATCTCTCAATATTTTCTCTCGTTAGGTATTAAGGAGACATTTAGGAGAGATTTGTGGTGTCACTTACTTTGTTTTGATAATCCAGATTGAAAAAAAAAAAAAAAAAACCTTAGTTTTTAAGATGTCTTTATCTTTCAGAATACGATGCTTTGGCAAAAGTGATCCAGCACCATCCTGACCGGCATGAGACGTTAAGGTAAGTTTAGCGCTTTGCTTGGAGAGGCACCAGTATTTAGACAGAAATCTTCAAGGACTAGCCCTTGCCTTTCCCCTTTATGGCTGAACATACATGTTTCAAAAGGAAGGTGAGATCTTCAATGTTATACACGCTACTCTTGCTTGAGTAGAAGTTTTCTTCTTCTAACCTCCAGCTTAGGGGTTTCAATTAGAATCTCATTACCAACATGAGCTATATAATCAAGCTATTTATAAAGGAAGGAGTTTTTTGTTGTTGTTGTTTTGTTTTGTTCCCCCTCCCCCCCCAGGAAGGGTTGTTTTGTTTCATTTTGTTTTTTAAGATTTATTTCAGACTTAAGAAGAGACAGAGAGAAAAATCTTCCATGCTCTGGTTCACTCCCCAAATGGCTGCAACAGTTGGAGCTGAGCTGATCCGAAGCATGGAGATTCTTCTGAGTCTCCCACATGCGTGTAGGGTCCCAAGGCTTTGGGCCATCCTCTACTGCTTTCCCAGCCCACAAGGAGGGAGCTAAATGGGAAATGGAGCAGCTTGGACAAGAACCGGCACCCATATGGGATCCAGTTACAAAACGAGGATTTAGCCACTGGGCCTCCTTGCTGGGCCCAAGGAGGTTTTATCTTACCTCCTGGTTGCCGAGGTTCGTAGTCTGGTCGAGCAGCCCGTTGGTTCAGTTTCTGGTGGTGGAGTCATAGGCAGTGCAGAGCATCATGTGGCAGGAGGGAGTGCTGCTAGCGGAAGAATCACAGAGCAAGGCAGGAAGCAGGGAGAATGGCTAAACTGAGCTGCCTCCTAAGCACCACCGGGTTATGACTTTGATGACTGTTTGGGGGCAGCATGTCGCAATCAACCCATTCCGAGGTCCAACATAAAGACATTTGATGCACCTCAGCAGGAAAGTGGGTAAACAGGGTCCCGGCGGCGTGGCCTAGTGGCTAAAGTCCTCGCCTTGAACGCCCGGGGATCCCACTTCCCATCCAGCTCCCTGCTTGTGGCCTGGGAAAGCAGTCGAGGACAGCCCAAAGCCTTGGTTCCCTGCACCCGCATGGGAGACCTGGAAGAGGTTCCTGGTTCCTGGCTTCGGATCAGCGTAGTACCGGCCATTGCGGCTCACTTGGGGAGTGAATCATCGGACAGCGGATCTTTCTCTTTGTCTCTCCTCCTCTCTGTATGTCTGACTTTGTAATAAAAATGAATAAATCTTAAAAAAAAAAAAAAAGAAAGTGGGTAAACAGGAGTAGGACCTGTTCCTAAACTAGAATATTAAATATCGGTTTAAAAGGACAAATTAATATACATATATAAGCTTTGAAGCTCGGATTTTAGAACATTTGGTTAAGAGACATGTAATAAATCTTAGATCGTTTCCATTTATGGAATACACATACGTCAACATTTGAATAAATTAAAATACTTTATGAATAAATCTAAATACTTTATGTATAATCTTTGGTATATTAATACTGTATATTGATATATTAGGTATGCACATTGAAAAGCATTAGATGTAATGGTTGCATAATTGGAAGGCAGAATAGAAACAAGACCTTGGGTAGAAGACTGGGGATAAGATTCAAAGAGTTACCAGCAGTGTGTCATATCCTTACAGGGAAAAAAGGTGGCAATATGTCAGTCCTTAGAGTTTGTTATTATTTGTTTTCTTGTACTTCAAAATACTTGTCCAAAATATGAATAATGAAGAGGAATTAAGATTCATTCTTCACTTTAGATTGTTAAAAAAAAAACTTGTATTATTTTAGAAGTATTGCTTAATATGCTTAATAGCTAGAAACTAAGTATTAAATGTGGATTCTGTTTCCAGCTAGCATACTATACCACTTTTTTTTTCAGGGAGCTGGAATCTCTGGGAAAAGAATTAGAGCATCTTTCACACATCAAAGAAAGTGTTGAAGATAAGGTATTTGCATATTGTGTCAGCCTTTATGATATGTATTATATTTCTAGAACAATATGCATAAATTTATTTTCTTATTGACACAGCTTGAATTGAGACGTAAACAGTTTCACGTTCTTCTCAGTACCATCCATGAACTTCAGCAGACATTGGAAAGTAAGTAGAAATAATCTCAATAAGAATACTTGTAAAATCTGTGTGGTGATCTGGGGACATGCCTTATAAAACACAAAATACACATTTTGAAGAGAGAGTATGTCTTCCATTTCTGAGTAGGATTGCTGAATAATATTAGCAGAAATCCATGTTATTCAGTTTTCTGAATTTAGGTAGAAAAAAAATCTTACTTTGTGCTAGTATGTGATTTCAGTATATGCTCAGTAGTTTAAGAATAACTGAACAGTGGTGGGCTTAGAATTGTTCTTGGTTACCCTAGTTTATTTCTGTAAAGAAGCAACTAAATCCAGAGAAGCAAGGTCAGCATTCATTACGTAAGAACATTGGTGTGCCCAGTGAGTGGTGAGTGCTTTGGGGAAAGGCAGGTGTGCTCTGCGTACTGCCTGGGTCCTCCTGGAAGTGACCGTGTTAGCTGATTTTCTGATAGTTTTCAAGAGCCTAAGACCTAGATTTGGGAGAAGTGATGTTTGGGGGAGAAACTAGTATGCAGATTTTACATTTTGATTCAACTAACCAATGACAACAACTCATACAGTTTCAGTGAGCTCACACTTCACGTGGGCTGATTATAGATCAGGGCCAGGCTGCCTTTTTTTTTTTTTACTATTTTTGATTTAAATGTCTCAGGTAATAAAGGATAACAGTGTTCTCAGGTGCCCACTAGACACAAAGTTTGGGCATATTTGACCAAGGCTGTATGTTTCTTTGTCAATTTCAGATGATGAAAAGCTCTCAGAGGTGGAAGACACTCAAGAAAGCACCATGGAAGCCAACTCTAAACCATAGCCAGGCTAATCCCTCATCATACTTAGGAGCATTCAAATCATGACCCTACCTTGCCATGCTTCGAAGTTGTTGTACTGTTGAGATAGTTTTAATAATGAAATACTTTCTTTTCAGTAATAATTTATATTTCATTCATCTATCTGTACACAAAGGAAAATGCTTTCACTATAGACTGAATTTTGTAGAAATGCATTTTTTTTTATTATCGAAAAGTCAAAACAAAATCCCAACATATCTAATAAAATGTTTTTCAATCTGAATTTATTTCTGCTTCTTTATTATGCTAGTCAAACGTAACATTGATAATTTATAACATTTTAACCGGTAGCACTGATTAGTTTACATGGTCAAGATTTTCATGAGAAATTGAGTTCATTTTTGGAAAGTATTACCATTTTTGAAAATTACATCCATGAATAGGCTCTTGGGAGCTTCAAACCTGTGAAATTATATTCGAAATCTCTGTGGAATGTTCTTAGTGTAGGGAAAAGTTTTATGATGTTGAGGATACCTGTAATAAGAGGTAATTACAGGGCCCGGCACGAGGGTTCAATGGCTAAGTCTCCACTTTGCAAGCACTGGGATCCCACATGGGTGCTGGTTTGAGTCCCAACTGCTCCACTTCACATCCACCTCCCTACTTGTGCCCTGGGAAAGCAACAGAGGATGGCCCATCAACTTTGGAACCCTACACCTGTGCGAGAGACCCAGAAGAAGCTCCTGGCTCTTGGCTCTTGGCTCCTGGTTTTGAATTGGCTCAGCTCTAACTGTTGTGGCCTTTTGGAGAGCGAACCAGCAAATAGAAGATCTTTCTGTCTCTCCCTCTCTGTAAAACTGATCTGCCTTTCCAATAAAAATAAATAAATCTTCTTCTTAAAAAGTAATTACAAGGTAACCCAATCAGCATTACGTGTGTATTGTTAATCATGATGATACTTCTGACAAACATGTTCTTAGATAACTTCACCATTGTATGAGCATCACAGAGTGCTTGCCTAGCCTAAGATGGTTGGACTTCAGGAGAGACAATCTCATGAGACCAGAATATAGGCTATGAAAACATCCATGTAATCTCTAATTGACCAACACATTGTTACACAGGACAGTGAATTGCTATTGGCTCTTAAATGTTCTGTTACATTTTTTCTTTCTACTGTTTTGTTCTCTTAGGAGTCACTTTGAATTTTGTAAATGTTCTTGTACTGGCCAGCAGTGTGGTCTAATGGGTAGAGCCTCTGTGTGTGATGCTGCCATGTCTTCTGGGTGCCAGCTCATGTCAGTGGCACTTGTGATCCTGCTCCCTATTTATGCGCCTGGGAAAACCAGCAGAAGATGGCACAAGTGTTTGGGCGCCTGACACCCCAAATGGGAGACCCAGGTGAAGTTTCTGGCTCCTGGCAAAAGTCTGACCCAGTGCTGGCCATTGCAGCCATGTGGAGAATTGATTTCAATGGAGAATTGATTTTTCTCTCTCTCTCTGTAACTTTTGAATACATGAATGTTTTTAAATATATATATATATGATTTATTTTTATTGGAAAGGCAGGTTTTACAACAGAAGGAGAGACAGAAAGATCTTCATCCGTTGATTCATTCCAATAGTGGACACAATCGCCAGAGCTAAACCAATCTGAAGCCAGGAGCCAGGAGCTTCTTCTGGGTCTCCCAAGTGGGTGCAGGGTCCCAAGACTTTGGGCCATCCTCTGCCACTTTCCCAGATCACAGGAAATGAGCTGGATGGGAAGTGGGCAGTCAGTACATGAACTGGCACCCATAAGGGATCCCGACGCATGCAAAGTGAGGACTTGAGCCACTAGGCTACCACACCAGACCCAAAAAATCCTTTCTTAAAATGAAAAGCTGTTTAAAGTAAATAGTTTCAAGTTGTTTTGCATAACAGATTTCATGATCTTTTTTTTTTTAACTAACCTAAGGGTAGGGGCTGGGACCATGACATGGTAGGTTAAGAATTTGCCTGCAGTGCTGTCATCCCAATTCAAGTCCCAGACACTCCATTTCCAATCCAGCGTCCTGCTAAGGTAACTGAGAAAGCAGTGGAGGCTAGTCTAAGACATCGGTCTCCTGCACTCATGTGGGAGACTGCAAGGAGCTCCCAGGTCCCTGGCTTCAGACTGGTCCAGTTTTGGTCATTGCAGCCATCTGGGGAGTGAATCAGCAGAGAGAAGACCTTTCTTTCTGTCTCTCTGTAAATCTGCATATAAAAAAAATAAATCTTTAAAAATATTAAGGATAGGGCCCGGCGCGGTGGCGCAAGTGGTTAAGGTCCTCGCCTTGCATGCTCGGGATCCCATATGGGCGCCGGTTCTAATCCCGGCAGCCCCGCTTCCCTTCCAGCTCCCTGCCTGTGGCCCAGCAAGCAGTCGAGGACGGCCCAAAGCTTTGGGACCCTGTACCCGTGTGGGAGACCCGGAAGAGGCTCCTGGCTTCGGATCGGCATAGTATCGGCCGTTGCACTCACTTGGGGAGTGAATCATCAGACAGAAGATCTTCCTCTCTGTATATATCCGCCTTTCCAATTAAAAAAAAATAATAATAAAAATAAATCTTTAAAAAAATATTAAGGATGAATTATGGATAGTTTTTTTAAGTATCAGATGAATTATATTTAGATTTCATCCCCACCCATTTATTTTAGTTCAGAAACACAACACTCTGTATGAATTGTCCATTAATAATCTTGCATTTTTTGTTACTTTAATGAGAATTTTAATCTTAAAAGTGAGTGTAAAATTAGCTCAGTAGTAGTCATTATGTTTCATAATATCTGTAACTAGTTCCTTTAATTTTATCTGAGAAAACAGGAGTAATTCTTCATAGAATTTAATTGCTAAAGCTTGAAAAATATCATTTTCTTCATGACTGATATAAGTTATGAAGCCAAAATTGTTCTTATGGACTGAAAACTAAAAACAAGGTTTTTCTTGGGGGGGGGGGTAATTTTTTTTTTTATCAGAGTGGGAAGGCTCCAGGATGAGGGAAGGATAGGTGTTACTGTTTCCAAACTTTCTATTTCTTCTCCCCATTTCTGGGGGCGAAGTGGGGAAGTAAGGGGAGAAGCCGTATCCAGTCTCCCTATCACTCCAGTACCCGGCCACCTGATATCAACCCAGGGCTAAAACTCAAGCTTTAAAGATTTTATTTTAAGGACTATTGAGCATAATTCTCTACAAAACATGTTTCCTTTGCTCACTGAATAGTTCACTAGGGTCATATTTATTCAGGATTATATACCAGATAACCTACAGTCAGTCAAAAACAAGGCCAGCAGCAGATGCTCAGGCATAACATGTTTTTCAGCCTGAATTTCCAGGAGGCTCGCTTTGACACTTTCTCAAACTGATGAGAGAACTGCAGAAGCTGATCTAAGCGAGACTCACTGCGTTCAAGTTCAGCATTTCGTTGGTCCAATTGCTTCCTGACTTGATCAGTAATTATTTGTTTGCAGTCATCCACCTAGGACAGATAAATCCAAAGAAATAAAGCCATTTGATAGAGGGCTGGCCTGATGGCTCCATCGGCTAATCCTCCCTCCCCATTCAAGTGCAAGGATCCCAAATGGGCACTGGTTCCTGTCCCAACTGCTCCACCTCCAATCCAGCTCCTTGCTTGTGGCCTGAGAAAGCACTGGAGAATAGCCTAGAGCTTTGGAACCCTGAACCCATATAGGAGACCCAGAGGAGGCTCCTGGCTCCTAGCTTCACATCAGCTCAGCTCTGGCCATCACGGCCACTTGCAAGTAAGCCAGTGCATGGAAGATCTTTCTGTCTCTCCTTTCTGTAAATTTACCTTTCCAATAATAATACATAAATCTTCAAAAAAGAGGAAAGAAAGAAAGCCAGCCTTGCCTACATCAAATGAGTAGCTGCTTTTCTTGGGAGAATGAGTTCAGGAATTGGTGGGCATTTTGCAAATGTCAGAGTATTCTAATTCAAGCCATACCAAACAGAGCTTGAAAATTTGGATTTACTTCCTGGTGGTAAAGAAGATCTCATTTCTTCTCAAAAGAAGCCTATGTGTATGTCTTCACTTTAATTGCATGCACTTAATATCTATTAGACACAGCATCCAGACGCCCTTAGCAGCCCTGTAACCACTCTCAGAATGCACCCCACTAACATTAGTCCTTAATGCTAATTGTTAATTTTGTCCCACATCCACACTATCAATTAAACCTACCCTTCTGATGCTTCTGAAGTACAAAAGTAAAAGATTTTCTTCACTACCTGCATTTGAAGGTTTTTTAATGGTAAAGCTGATTTTTGAAGGGGTTCTTCCAGGCCATGTTTCTTTTTTTTCAGCATTGGAAAGTGTAGCCTCTTTTTGGATGAAGAAAGTACTTCCTATTGTAAAAATGCAAAAAAACAACCATACATCAGATTAGGAAATACCAGCAGTATTTCTGTGATGGCATTTCAATAAGAATCCTCACCCTTGTGGTATTCTCTTATGAACTCAATATTTGCCACATAACAACGTTGGATTGTTGGAGACCATATTCATATTATTCTCCACACCCCATGCATTTCCTTTGTGACCAGAGCTCTCTTTGAAGAGAGAGCTATAGGGTGCGGAGAAATGAGATTGTCTTGCTCTGAAAGAATACACAAAGTCAGGGGAAAAGCAGGTCACTCATAAGGGGAAGCAGAAGAAACTGCCTGTGCACCTGCTGAGCACTGTGTGAGTGGGGGGCTGTTGTGGACCACTGCTCCAGAAAGCTCATTATCGATGGATCCAGTGGTTAATTTTGGTCTCCTTTCTGCAGCCGCCCTTATTTCCATAGCAGTCATGTCTCCAAAGATAAAAAAGCTTTGGGTTCTTTCTGCCCCATGCCTGGTACATTTTCCATCATCCTTGGCTGACTGGATACACAGATCTGTCCTAATAATGTTACTATAAATTATTCCAAGGTCATAGCTGCTGGTCCCTTTTAGTTTTACTGGGCTCACTCTTCCTTCCACTTGTGCTGAATAATTAAGTGTAAGGACTGTTGTGACACCTACACAAAGTAGGAGGTGGACATGGAGACTGCCCCTTCACCTGATGAAGAAATTTACTACTAATGGAGTCTGGTTCAGATGTCAAGTAAGTGCTGTGCTTCCCAGATCCTCTACAACAAAACCTTTTCCCTCTGTTATAAAACCCTGTACTTTTATTTTAATGACAGAGGATACATGTATGATATACTTATACAAACACATATAAATATGTCTATATGTAATATATATGCGTGAGATCTTTCATTTGGTGGTTACTCCTCAAATGCCAGCAACAGGCAGGGCTATGCCAGTCTTAGATCAGTAGCCAGGAACTCCATCTGGGTGTCCCACAGCAATAATGGGAACACAAGTGCTTGGGTTATCATCCGCTGTCTTCCAGATACGTTAGCTGGAAGCTGGAGTAGCAAAGTCTTAAATCAGCACTCCGATATGCAGGTGCTCCATGTATCAGCTTAACCCGCTGTGCTGTAACACCTATCTTTATCCTTATCTTTGCAATTAGGGCTCTGTGTGTGTCCTACAAAATCCTGTTCTACCCGGAACCCATGATGATATTCTTACCATCCTGCACAAGTTTTAAGAGTTTGCCTTTGTAGTTAAAATTAGAATCCGAAAGGAATTAATTTTGTGAGCTAAGAATCATTTTTTTTCTATCCCATATGATATCCACTTGTCCCGCTGCCATTTGCTGAGCAGTTATCCTTATCCCACTGCTTTGTACGGCCATGACTGAATGCCTAGCTCCTCTATTAGTTGTTAAAATGCCATACATCAGGGAAATGTTCATTGGATCACTTGTAGTACCCAAACCTAGAAATTTCCCAGGATATAATTAGGGACACAATAAGTATGAACCTTAAAATATTTATTTATTTAAAAAGTAGAGTTACAGGGCCCGGCGCGGTGGCACAAGTGGTTAAAGGTCCTCGCCTTGCACGCCCGGGATCCCATATGGGCGCCGGTTCTAATCCCGGTGGCCCCGCTTCCCTTCCAGCTCCCTGCCTGTGGCCCAGCAAGCAGTCGAGGACAGCCCAAAGCTTTGGGACCCTGCACCCGCGTGGGAGACCCGGAAGAGGCTCCTGGCTTCGGATCGGCATAGTATCGGCCGTTGCGCTCACTTGGGGAGTGAATCATCGGACGGAAGATCTTCCTCTCTGTCTCTCCTCTCTGTATATCTGCCTTTCCAATGAAAAAATAATAAAAATAAATCTTAAAAAAAAAAAAGTAGAGTTACAGAGGGAGAAGAAGAAGGAGAGAATTTTCCATTTACTTCGCTTCCCCATTGGCCTCAACAGTGGCAGCTGGACTAAGCTGAAGCCAGGAAAAGGAACTTCATCTGCATCCCCCATTTGGGGTGGCAGGGCCAAAGCACTTGGGTCATCTTTTGCTGCTTTCCCAGGCACATTAGCAGGGAACTGCGTTGGAGCTGTAGTGGGAACATGAACTAACCTCCAAGTGGGATGCCACTTCTGACTAGAGTGAGGGCCAGTATAAGGGCTCAACAGGATAACCCTCCATCCTGTGGGGCCAGCATCCTATATGGACACTGGTTTGTGTCCCAGCTGCTCGACTTCTAATCCAGCTCTCTGTTTATGGCCTGGGAAGGTAGGGGAGGAGGGTCCAAGTTTTTTGTACGTTGCGCCCACGTGGAAGACCCGGAAGAGGCTCCTGACTCTCAGCTTCAGATAGGTTGTTTCAGATGGGCTTAGCCCTGGCTGTAGCTGGTATGTCTGAGAAACTGAACTTACAATTTTGCTGATTTTTAGTTAGTGGTCACATGTGTCCATAGTGGACAGAATAATTTGACAATACAACTGGAACATGGCATGGTAATTAAGAACAAGGACTCCCTTGGGCTCGGGGTGGTGGCCTAGTGGCTTAAGTCCTTGCCTTGAATGCACCAGGATCCCATATGAGCACTGATTCTAATCCCAGTAGCTCCACTTTCCATCCAGCTCCCTGCTTGTGACCTGGGAAAGCACTCATGGACAGCCCAAAGCTTTGGGATACTGCACCCACACGGAAGACCTGAAGGAGGCTCCTGGCTCCTTGGCTTTGGATCGGCACAGCACTGGCTGTCACAGCCAGTTGGGGACTGAACCACCGGAAGGAAGATCTTCCTCTCTGTCTTTCTTCCTCTCTGTGTATCTACCTTTCCAATAAAAATAAATCTTAAAAAAAAAGAGAGAGAGGGCCCGGCGCGGTGGCGCAAGTGGTTAAGGTCCTCGCCTTGCACGCCAGGGATCCCATATGGACGCCGGTTCTGTCCCGGTGGCCCCACTTCCCTTCCAGCTCCCTGCCTGTGGCCTGGGAAAGCAGTCGAGGACAGCCCAAAGCTTTGGGACCCTGCACCCATGTGTGAGAGACCTGAAAGAGGCTCCTGGCTTCAAATCGGCATAGCACCGGTCGTTGCGCTCACTTGGGGAGTGAATCATCAGACGGAAGATCTTCCTCTCTGTCTCTCCTCTCTGTATATCCGCCTTTCCAATAAAAAATAATAAAAATAAATCTTTATAAAAAAAAGAGAGAGAGAGAGAACAAGGACGCCTGAGTCAGGTTCTGCTGCTCTCCTGGGAAAATTACTTAACCTCTCACTCGATAGCATCTCTGAAATAAAGACAGCATTGCTATCGATCTTATTGAACTGTTGTACTAAGGGTTATATGACATTTTAATTTTTATTAGTATTTATTGATTTGAAAGATAGGGAAGTGTGGGGCAAGAGTGTATCAAGCTTCCATCTGTCGCATCATTCTGTAAATGACTGCAATAGGTATGTCTGGGTCAGGCCCAAGCCAGAAGCCAGAGACTCCATATTGGTCTCTCCCAAACTAATTTTTCAGCTTCCTTCCCAGGCTTATCAGGAGGAAGGTGGTTCAGAAGCAGAGCAGCCACAGCCTTAACTGGCATTCTAACATGGGATGCCATTGTTGCAAATAGTGGCTTTAATGTTGTCATAACAGGGCTTTGGAACAGCATCAGTTCTTAAATAATGGCTTATTGTACTTAGATAGTAATAATATTTCAAGAGTCTACTTTTAAAAGATAATATGGGAAATTCAGGTTCAATTACAAATAACTAGTGGATATGTGAATGTTTGGATTTTTCAAAGTCCTGTCTCATCTAGCATGGGCCTGTTTATGCTGTGTATCTTTTTTTTTTTAAGATTTATTTATTTTGGGCCCAGCGGCGTGGCCTAGCGGCTAAAGTCCTCGCCTTGAATACACCGGGGTCCCATATGCGCTGGTTGTAATCCTGGTAACTCCACTTTCCATCTAGCTCCCTGCTTGTGTCCTGGGAAAGCAGTCAAGGGCAGCCCAAAAGCCTTGGGATTCTGCACCAGCGTGGGAGACCTGGAAGAAGTTCCTGGATCCTGGCTTCAGATAGGCTTAGCATTGGCCATTGCGCTCACTTGGGGAGTGAATCATCAGACAGAAGATCTTTCTCACCGTCTCTCTTCCCCTCTGTATATCTGACTTTGTAATAAAAATAAAAAAATCTTTTAAAAAAAAAGATTTATTTATTTTGGAAAGGCAGAGATTTACAGAAAGAAGGAAAGACAGATTTTCTATCTGTTGGTTCACTCCCCAGGTGCTTGCCACGGCTGAAGCTGAGCCAATCTGAAGCCATGAGCCCAGAGCTTCTTCTGGGTCTCCCATGCAGGTACAGGATCCCAAGGCTTTGGGCTGTCCTTCACTGCTTTCCCAGGGCGTAAGCAGGGAGCTGGATGGGAAGTAGAGCAGACAGGATATGAAGTGGTGTCCATTTGGGATCCCAGCCAAGGCAAGGCAAGAATTTAGCCACTGTGCCTTTACATCAGGCCCAGCTTTGTACCTTTTAACTTCATCTAACATTAAATGAAAATTGAGAACAATATGCTCAGTGAAATAAGCCAATCCCCAAAAGACAGATAACATAGATTCTCTCTGATATATGGCAACCTCCATATAAGATACAAGATCATATACATGTATTCTCAGAGAAGAACCGCAAAATGGAGACTAGCATACAGGGAAGCGAAGATACACTGTAGTATGCTCTCTGCTCCCAAACAAAATGAACCAAACGACTCCTGATGAAACTGATAAATATATCTGGACAATAGGATACAAGACTGTCTACCATTGCCTATACCTACAATACCATGATTCACTAACCAGCAGAATGTTAGACTTGTGAATATTGCCAAAGGACTGTAACACTACAGGGAAAACCAGAGGGAGAGAATGGCGGAGTTGGGATAGAAGGGGGAATCTCTGTGCCTACGGAACTGTACAACGAATAATAATAAAATTAAAACATAACAAACAACAATCTGTACTTCAATCCCTGATTTACACTAGTCACTTTTCAAAGTCCCAAAAACGATTCACCTACTTTTTCCAGACAGTATTTACTGGCAATCTTGCAGCAAGTTCTGTTGGTCAGCACTGGTCTAGCGAATTCCTTTCCATCAAACATTCATGGATAGGCCAGATTACTAATCTGCTAATTTGACATTTGTACAGTTGATAGGATTAACTTAAAGTCATCAGTTCCATTGTTGCCCAGACTGTCACAGAAGCAGAGTAGTTGGAGTTCTGACTTCTCTGTGGTTCAGTGTCGCAGAGGAGACAGGGACCACAGATGTCAAGGGTTCACAAGGTACAGCCCAGGGCGAAGAGAGTTGGGATTCACAAAATCCCTGAACTCATGACTGGCAGCTGTCAGTCACGAGGGGCAAGTTTGTAACAGCGATTTACCTTTTGTTGTCCCTGGTGAACAGGCATCCTGCAGAAGCGGTTGGCAGAACTCCCAGCCGGCAGGTGGTTCCCTCCTGCTGCCCCCTCCATCTCTGCCTCTGCACCAAGTTGCGTCTTGGCCTCCACATCAGATTGTACAGTTTCTTAGAGAAAGAACCGAACATCTTGTGAACATTATGATTATCAATATGCTCGTCCCAGCAGAAAGTGCTCTGGGAAGAAAGATGCATTTGGTGCCTTAGTAGCGATAAGGAAAGAGAGAGAGAAAGAGAGCGAGGAGAGAGAGAGAAAGCACTTTTCTAGCTGCTGGTTTACTTCCAGGATGTCCACCACGGCCAACGCTGGTCCAGCGTGAAGCCCTTCCTAGTCTCCTACATGGTGGCAGGGGCCCAAGTACTTGGGCCATCCCCCTTTGATTTCCCAAGGTGCGTTATCCTCCTTAGGCACCTTATGCCTCTGGTCCACCACACAGGCACCTCCGCAGACTTTGAAGTACCCTTGTTTTTAAATGAGAAGTGGCGGTAGATTGATTATACCACTAACTGGGCCAAGAGAAATGGCAGTTTCATCCAGTGAGTCTGAAAATGTACACATGCATCCTACGGGGGAAGGGAATGTTGTAAAAATGAAGATTCTGACCCAGTAGCCTGGGTAGGGCCTTAGAATCTGCATTTCAGACCAGCTGCTCAGAGAGACCAGTCATTGGAAAACAATGACTGATTTTGCCTTCCTCTTGCCTGGACACTTCAAGACAAATTGCCTTTGCTCACTGTTCGGTGACTGCTTTCTCATTCTTAGCATAGTAAATAACTTGGTGGGCAGAAGCTGCTTGACAATCTGAGGAACAGAGCTCTGTACGGCAGAAAGGAAAGTTTCCTTGTGCTCCTCAGAGTCCTTGCTGCTGGCATTTAGGGGTTTACCTCTGCGTGGCAGTATCTTCCCCAAGAAACTCTTGCTTTTCTTCATACTTTCCTTCATACTTTTTTTCTGATTCTGCTGGCTTTCTTGAAAGCCCACGTCAATTTCACTACATGATTCTTCTTTGGGTGCCAATGCATTTTGCTTGGCTAAGTTCGTAGACTCCATTCTATGCCATGTAAAACAAATAAAAATAATTTGCATTAAGGAAATGAACACTTCACACTGAATAATTTAAATTGCCAGAACTTAAACTTCAAATGTGAAAAAAAAAAAAACACATGATCCCAAAAAACTGAAATTGGAGACCAAGAATAAAATCACAGAAAAAAAAAAGAAAGCCAAAATAACAACTTAGTGTTTTGTCACCAGATTGCTATAAATGCAATCTGTCCACTGTGTCTTTAGTTCTCACAGCACTGCAAGAAGTAGGTTATATTACTAACTCCCTTCTGCTGATGAGTAAACCGAAATGCAGACATGTTAAATCCATTGGCCGAGAGTAGGGGAGCATGTGGGTTTTAATTCCAATATATCTTATCACACATTGGTAAATCGCAAATCTTTTGGATGGTGTTTGGAGATGATCTTTGTTGTATTTGGCAGGTCAGAGGCTGAAATGATGGAAGAATTTGCAAGGACCATCAACACAGAATACAAGAAAGAATACTTTAAAGCAATATGAAAAGCGGATTTAAATGAAGTTCATTTTGATGTGAACATGTTTGAAAATCATCATGAACTTTTTGAAGATCCCTCATATGACTGCAAAAAATAATAGAAAAATCTAATCTGTTATATCCTTTCAAGAAGGCTGTTAAATGGAATCATACAGGATAGAATACTTTGTGTGTGTTTTTTTTTCACTCAGCATAGCTCACTACATCCTCCTCAAAGATGTGTGAATCAACAGTTCATATGTTTTGGTTGCTAAATAACATCCTATTATGACGTGACTGTCCTACACTTTGTTTTATGTTCCACTTGCTGAAGGACATTTGTGGATTTTTTTTTAAAAAAGATTTATTGGGCCCGGCGTGGTGGCGCAGTGGTTAAGGTCCTCGCCTTGCACGCCCGGGATCCCATATGGGCGCCAGTTCTATCCCGGCAGCCCCGCTTCCCTTCCAGCTCCCTGCCTGTGGCCTGGGAAAGCAGTGGAGGACGGCCCAAGGCTTGGCTCCTGGCTTCAAATCGGCCATAGCATCGGCCGTTGCGCTCACTTGGGGAGTGAATCATCGGACGGAAGATCTTCCTCTCTGTCTCTCCTCTCTGTATATCCGCCTTTCCAATAAAAAATAATAAAAATAAATCTTTTTAAAAAAAGAGATTTATTTAATCTTTATATAATCTATTTGTTTATTGGTGGAGTAGCCTAGTGGCTAAAGTCCTCGCCTTGCATGTGCTGGGATCTCATATGGGTGCCAATTCATATTCTGCCAGCCAGCTTCCCAGTCGGCTCACTGCTTGTGGTCTAGGAAAGCAGGACAGCCCAAAGCCTTGGGACTCTGCACCCACGTGGGAGACCTGAAGAAGCTCTTGGTTCTTGGCTTCGGTTAAGTGCAACTCCAGCCGTTGCAGCCACTTGGAGAGTGCATCAGTGGACAGAAGATCTTTTTCTCTGGCTCTCTTCTTATCTGTGTATCTGACTTTCCAACAATAAATAAATAAATCTTTTTTAAAAACAGATTTCTTCTTTAAAAAAAAAATCAAAACAGCAGATTTAAAGGAGAGACAAAAATAAATAAATAAATAAAGGAGAGACAAAAAGTGAGATCTTCCAGCTGCTGATTTTCACTTCCCAAATGGCTGTAACAACAGAGCTGAGCTAATCTGAAGCCAGGAGCCAGAAGCCCACTCGCATGTGGGTGTAGGATCTCAAGGATTTGAGTCATTTTCCTCTGCTAACCCAAGCCACAACAGGGAGCTGGATGGGAATTAGAGTAGCTGGGACACGAACTGGTGCCCATATGGTATGGTGGCCCTTGTTGGAGAATTAACCAATTGAGCCATTGTGTTGGCCTATATAATTTTCTTTAAGTTTTATGTTATCTCTTTGAAAGGTGGCATGGCAGAGAGAACAAAGATGCAGAGAGAAAGAGCTCCCCCACCCTCCCTAAAAAGATACTACAGTTTCAGGTGTCCTTCATGCAGTGGGGTAGTAGTTTCTGGCTTTATTGTCTCCCTTTTGATTGCCGTATGATGTGTTCAGTGCATGTAACTGTCTTCTCTCTCCAAATGCTCTGATTCAATACTCTTTCCTTGCTCTACCCCTGAAGCTGGCTTACAGAGGCATGGGTCGGGTAGAGGAAATAGTTGCCCACATAGGAAATCCTCACTGTGTACCGGCTTTCCAGCTTTGACCTTCATTCTTCATATGTTACCTAAAATATCTCTAGTACCACCAATAGCATACATGTTTCTCTCCAGAAAATCCCTGCTCTGAACCGAGCCAAAACCCTCCTGCCTTATTTGTCATCACATACAGGAAGTCATTCATTTTGGGTTCAGGCACTTGAGTTAAACGGCCTTGACTCAGCCCAGAACCACAATTCCTAGCCACGTGATCTTCGTCATTATGACTTCACTTGGCAAGCTTTGGTTCTCTTGGAAAATGAACCTGCTATTCCGAGAAATGAGTAAATTAAAGGAAACAGTTGGTAGGTTTTGAATCCAGCAAAGCACTCAATAAATGATAGCTTTGATGATTATGCGAGTCAGATCTGAGCGATGAAAAATGGAAAAGGCAAAGGGAGAGGCTGGGCAGCAAGACAAAGGGGGACCCTGTGGGCTCTCGGCCACCCCCTGGGCCCAAGAATACAAAGCTTTGCCAATTGTAGGCACACGACTTCCAGGGGCTCTGACCTTAAAATGTGTTAGATTGTTAGCACTCATTTCCTAGAAGACGCTGCTAAAGCATCCCAAGAAATATCATTTATTAGTTTGCTCAAAGGTGATTTATGAGCTGACATTAATTTCCCAGTAATCCTTCTGTAATGCTTTCAATAATATTAACTTTTACGTGGTTTTTTTTTTTCCTCAACCACAAATAGTTATGCAGATCCACTAATAAAAAAGAACAGAAATGCAATTCCAGGAGGCTCAGGCCATCTTAGCAACCTGTCGGGTTAAAGCCCCGCCCTGAGCAGCGAGTGTCTGTCAATCTAGCAAGTGTCTGTCAATCCTGTCCTTCCACTGTCACGGCAGATGTATTTACAACATAATGTACAAAGTGCACTTGGCTTTAAGGACTATCCAAGGAGCCCTTCCTTTCTTAAAATAAGATCTTGAGGTACTGAATCTCTTGGGTTGTGTTTCTTCTGTCTTAAGCTTTTACTTCCTACTAGAAGTCTCAAATTTCTGAAATATTTCATTTTGTCCGTGAAAGTTATTCACTCTTGAATGGTTCAGGTCTGACAAAAATACCTTACTTCTTTAAGTCTGAGGCACACCCCAAAAGCTTGGTCAGAGAGAATACCAACGAAATTGAAATACACCACCGCACTTACTTTGCAAATTGAACTGTATTAAGTTTGAAATATTTTCTGCTTTCCTTTATGGTTTTGTCTTTGGTCAAGAAATACCACATCTGATTGCTTTAATGTTACATGAAAGAATGTGTGCATAGGTGAAATATTGTTAGCACACATCTCAGCAGCCGTAGCTGCTGGGACTGGGGAGGGAAAACATTGATTGAGGAATTGTTTTGAATAGTGTTGGTATGAGGTGTGGAATGCCCAACGTTCTGATGTTGAATTGTCATCTTCCTATGAATACTTCTTTCCTCTAACTTGCTATGTTAAAATTCAAGTTCAGGTGAAAGCCAAGTTTCTTCCTGCCACAAATGAACACTTCTAAGCACAAAACAAGGCTTTTGTAACGGTGTAGGTTTCCTGGGCCAATGTCCTACTGGCTCCCTATCTTTGTCGCTTTCATTTCTTTTTTTTTTTTTTTGGTAGAATCCAAATGAAAGTGTTTATTTAATGAATGGTTGCATTTTATATTTTTGTTTTTTAAATTTTACTTTAATTTAATTTTTAAAATCATATACCACTTTTTTTTTAATTGATTACACTGCATTATGTGACACAGTTTTATAGGCACTGAGATTCTCCCCTCCCGTCCCAAGAATGCGCTCCCCGCACTCCCCCACCCCCCCACCCCCCCACCCCCGGTGGATTCTTGTTGCATTACCACAGTTCAAATTCAGTTGAGATTCTTTCCTTGCAAGCATCTACAAAGCATAGAGTCCAGCATCTTATTGTCCAGATAAGTTCAGCAGTTTCTTAGGGAGACTGTCTCTGGTCTGAAGGTAGAGCCGACAGAGTATCATGCCAATCAATTAAAAACCCCGACATTACATCAGTAACAATTAAAAATGTAATGGAATTAGTTGACATGGTATTGTGTAACCAGCATGTTAAAAGAGAGAGAGAGAGAGAGAAAAGAGTGCAAGTTCTGAACCACATCCTATGACTTCTACATTGACATTACAATTATTAGTTCATATACAACTGGGTTCTATACACCTTAAAATGGCTATAGATTACTATTCAGCTGTCTCATGTCTATTTTAATTTTAGTATTTAGCAGTTTATGTCGCTTTCATTTCTAAAGGCACTGTTTTTAAAAGATGCTACATCTTGTACATGTCCAGTAAATTTTGCTTTATGGAAAAGAACATGAGTTTCATTACCTACCTTTTGACCTCCTTCTTTTGGAATGAGTCGTTTTTCTCTCGGAGTTGCTTCGATCTTCGGCACCAGATGGACTTTCCCATAGTCAGTCTAACTAGGAGACACTGCTGACCACTGCCCGTTGCTGTCAACTTGAGCTATAATAGGTGCCTGGAATTTCAGGAGCTTTTGAACTCACGGGCTTCATAAGAAAATGATCCTCGAAACAGAAAGTTCTGAGCTTATTTAGGGGCAAGGGTAAAGTGAAAGCAGGAAATAAGGTTTTTTCCTGTTTAGCGCAATCCTGTATTTGATAGATTCTTGGGAAATTCCCAAGCTCCGTGGAAATGTTTATAGATTCTTAGATAAGGCAGATGCAGAAAGGGTACTCTGCTCGTATAACCACTGCCATCCGGATTAGCAGTAAATAAAATCAAATGTCCATTGACCATCACCTGCAGCTGTGTGCATGCCGGGTCCACAGAGCAACGGAGCCTCGAGGGACACCAATGGCTATCAGTTAATGGGAGCTGATCTCTCTGTATGTGAGCATGTGGGATGACTGTGACGTTCTGTGGTGATTTGGACGCCTCACACTGCCTCTCGAGGGTTGTTTCACTGATGTTGGAGTTTGGTAGTGGTTTCTCAAAGAACTTGGTTGAACAAGTTGAAATTTGTGCTTCTCCTGATGCTTAGCCACATTTTGGAATTAAAAAAGGGGAAATACTGCCTGGGTTGAAAATTCTGTCCACACGGTGGCAGCAGACACTAGGGATTATTCCCATTACTTATTGGCACTTAGTGGTTTGGTTTGAAAGAACTGGATGAATTACAAGGAAAACCTCAGACAGGCGTTGTTCTGTTTTCTGGGTCTGCACGATTTACAATCTGGATGACGCTTCTCAAGTTTCCGCGTGCATGGGAATTACCTGGGGATTTCTTGTAGAGGTGGAATGAGCACAACACAGCAGAGGTAAGAGCCAAGTTTTCACACTGTGTTGTCTAACAAACTCCCAAGTGAAAGTAGCAGTGCTGGTGGGGAAACAGCACTTTTTTTTTTTTTTTTGCAGTGAGACATCTGGCTTTTCCAGACTTGGGGATGGAGCTTTAAAATATTCAAGCATGAGTGGTGAAGAGGGTGGGTTTGGAAATTGCACCTGGATTCTCATTTCAGTCAACTGCGTGGCTTTGGTCAAATCACTCAAACTATCTAGGCTTATTTAATCTATTTTTTTTTAATTTTTTTTATTTTTTTTTTTTTTAGATTTTATTTTTATTATTTTTTTCATTGGAAAGGCAGATATACAGAGAGGAGAGACAGAGAGGAAGATCTTCCGTCCGATGATTCACTGCCCAAGTGAATGCAACGGCCGATACTATGCCTAGCCAAAGCCAGGAGCCTCTTCTGGGTCTCCCACAAGGGTGCAGGGTCCCAAAGCCTTGGGCCGTCCTCGACTGCTTTCCCGGGCCACAGACAGGGAGCTGGAAGGGAAGTGGGGCTGCCGGGATAGAACTGGCGCCCATATGGTATCCCGGGCATGCAAGGCGAGGACCTTAACCACTGCGCCACCGCGCCGGGCCCTAAATAATACATCTTTAAAAGCTAGGGTTTTTTTTTTGGGGGGGGGGGAAAGGAATAAAAAGTTTATTTTGGTGCCAAAAAAAAAAAAATTGAAATCCTTTTATGTGAGGAGTTTTTAAAGAGTTCATGGACATGGGTATAATGAAAAAAAAAAAAATCTATGGACTTAAAACTTTTTTTTACACTAGAATTGACTCATTTTTCAAGTCAATTTTTAACAACCTTTTGGGAGTCTTCTTTACATACGGTTGCCAGAGGAATTCTGAAGCAGTCCTGGAGCTGGAGAGATCAGGCCTGGTGGAAGAATTAGAGTATGGATATTGATTTTTTGCATCAGGTGCTTGACTCTAGGTGTTTGCTTAAACCCTCGGGCAGATGATGCGATCTCTCTCCACCTGCATTGTCTTACGTAAAAGAAGGATAGTAACGGCTACCTCCCAGGGCTGTTGTAGTGACTTATTCATTCAACGAATATTTGAATGCCCCGGTGTTGCCAGGCCCTACCCTAGGTACCAGATCAACACAATCTCTGAACAAACGCAAGGAAAGCCGCGTGGAGGGGTGGTGGCAAACGCTGTGAGAGAAACAAAGGGTAGGGGCGGACAGCCGGATAGAGTGATGACAAGGCTCAGCTACACCCGGAGGGTTCAGGAAAGCATAGCCAGAGGGGTTTGGGGGGCTGAGGAGTGGATAAGGATAAAGAGCCCATCGTGGCCAGATCTGTGTATGTCAGGCAGGCAAAAAGACCAGACGCCAAAGCCCTGGGCTCGGAGAAGTCTGGTGGTTTTGGAAATGTGTCAAATAGCCAGGCGGGTTGCGGGTCAAGGAGACAAACGGAGATGAAATGTGGAGAGACCAATAGGACTAAATCTGCCGAGCCTCACAGATCAGATAAGCAAATCTGCTGTTGGAGACTGAAGGTCGCGGGGCCAGCATCCCATACTAGAGCATCAGTTTGAAGTGTGGTTGCCCTGATCCAGCTCCTTGCAGATGCGCCTGGGAAAGCAGGATAAGATGGGCCGAGTGCTTGGGCTCCGTCACCAATACGGGAGGCCTGATGGAGTTCCGGACTCCTGGTTTCAGCCGACCTAGGGCTGTTGCAGGCATTTGGGGAATGAACCAGGAGATGGCATGTCTCCCTTCTTCTCTGACAAGTTTCCTCTTTTCCTCGATAGGCAAATATATCTTTAAAAATTTGGTCTATATCTTAGGAGCCACAAGAAGTTGGCGGCCCTAACCCGCCGAAAGAGAAACAAGAGCTGCGTCAGTATTGTGGAAGCCAATTCGTAACCATAAAATAAAAATTAAAAATCTTAGCTCACTAAACCTGACTTTTTGTAAACTTTTTTTTTTTTTTTTTTTTTTACAGAACAATGCCCTTTTACTCAGCCATGGCCCTGTGGCTCCCATCCGAGTCCCAGGTACCTGAAAGGGTGTGGCAGAGCAATGGATGCCCCTCAGCATCAGGCCCCGTCACTGGGCCCTCGGCCCCCCGAAACCCTGGGGACCCGATCAAGCTCTGCTCCCAACATGGAGCCCAGCTGGCCTTCCCTTGCTTCTGCCTCCCTCGGGGAGCCCCAGCACCTTTCTATCGGTTCAACGGCACCACCGAGCAATCCCGCAGCCTCTGGCGGAGCTGGCTCTGCAGGTCCTCATCTGCCACCTTCCACCAAGCGTAGTTCTCACCCCGAACTTTTGGGGGCTCCTCGGCTGGGACACCCGCATTGTGGAAGGCCACGGCCACCAGCACGTCCAGGCAGATGCCGTCTGAGCCGTCCTTGCCCAGGTGCTGCAGCCCCAGCAGGCCCTTGGGCTCCACTGTCAAGGTATGCAGGGCCAGGCACTCCTGGAGCAGCCGCAGGACGGCCACCTTGAGGCCGCCCCTCTGCTCCGCGGGGGTGAAGTCACAAGCAGTGACAGGCAGGTGAGGTGTCCCCGCCGTGCCCACCAGCACCCACAGCGTCTGGACACCGATGAAGACAGCTATGAGCCGCTGGCACACCACACTGCAGGGAAGCTCCTGGGGCAGCAAGGGAGGGTGCCAGGCTTGCTGGAGGTACTGGGCACCCAGCTCTAGGAGGTGCACAATGTCATGGGCACGTAGTGGCGTGGCCAGGGAGGTGCGTGGGAACCAGCCAGCTTGCAGGGACTCAGCGTCTGCCTCCTTGGAAGTTTTGAGAATTCCACCTTCTCGTTGAGGAACACGGCCAGCACCACGTAGGACACGTTTGCACGCAGCCGGGCCGGGGGCGGCGGCTTCCCACCGGCGGGCCCCGAATCCCAGTTCTGCACCTGCAGCCCCCTGCCCTCCAGCACGGCCGCCAGCGCCCTCGTCAGGTCCTCGGAGGCCATGGGCGCCCCGGGCCCCGCGCGGTGCCGCCACGGCCGGGCTGCGGGCGAGCGGGGAAGGCCCCGCACCCTGAGCCCCTCGCCCCCGTCGCCGCCCGAGGCGACTTTTTGTAAACTTTTGTAATAAATTCCATTGTTCTTAATTGAGAGGTGGGCTAGGGTTGGTTTCGGTAAAAGTCATAGCTGACTTAGTTTCATGTCTTAAGCTCCTAATATTGTGTAACAGGTCTTGTTTTTGGGGTTTGGCAAAGCACCAAGCTTACACAGATGATTCCTATAAGTTCATACGAATTTATTAGCGTCGGGGGGTGGGGTTTGCTGATATAATCAGGAAATATGGAAATGAGTTATACGTAAACGCGTACACGTACATACGTACGTACGCGTGTACGTATGCGTGCGTATGCGTGCTTATGCGTATGCGTGCGTATGTGCGTGCACGTATGCGTGTGCGTGCTTACACGTGCTTATGCGTATGCGTGCGTATGTGCGTGTACGTATGCGTATGCGTGCTTCTGCGTGCTTCTGCGTATGCGTGCGTATGTGCGTGTACGTATGCGTATGCGTGCGTATGCGTGCTTATGCGTATGCGTGCGTATGTGCGTGTACGTATGCGTATGCGTGCGTATGCGTGCTTACGCGTATGCGTGCTTACGCGTATGCGTGCTTACGCGTATGCGTGCGTATGTGCGTGTACGTATGCGAGAGTGTGAAGTAATTATGTCGTGAAACCACTGACAAAATGTCTACAGGAACCAAGTAGGGACAGGAGAGAAACTGCAGGGGGTAACAGGGAGGGGTGGGAACTCTCGGGCTGCGAAGTGCTGGGCTTTAAAGAAACTTTGTGCACTTAAACGTGATCGGTGGACCACAGGTTGCTAGTTACCTCTCTCACCAGCCACCTTCAGGCTGCTGGCCCTCCCAAAGCTGCGGCTGAACTGCAGAACGCTCAATTGACTCTTTGCCAATTCGCGTCGTGTGTTTTGCGACTTATCTCTAATTGCATACTAACGGCAGCTGGTGACTTGGAAGGCCTCTGCAAACTTGGTAAGTTGAGCTTCTGCATCTTGTTTCCAAACTTGGGTGTGACAAACAGGGAAGAGAATGTGCTTTACTGCCATGCAGTCATTTTTATAAAAAAAAAATAGTAAAAATAAATCTTAAAAAAAATTATTTGAAAGGTAGAATTACAGAGAGAGAGAGAGAGGGAGAGACAGAGGAAGGTCTTCCATCTACTGGTTTACTCCCCGAGATGATCACAACTGCCAGGGCTGGGTCAGGCCAAAAGCAGGAGCCAGGAGCTTCCTCTGGATCTCCCGTGTGGATGCAGGGACCCAAGCACGTAGGCCATTCTCTGCTGCGTTCCTAGGCACATTCTCGAGGAGTTGGATTGGGAATGGAGCAGCCGGGACTCAAGGTAGCGTCCATACAGGATGCCAGTGCTGCAGGCTGTGGCTTTACTTGCTATGCCACATTGCCTGCCCGCAATCCATTTTAAAGGGAGTTTGCAAATGCAGGGTGTAAATAGGTGTTGGGAGTGTCTTCATGTGGCTCAGGTGAAACCCCTTGCTGGAGGTTGGTCCTTTTGAGAGAAAGAAGGTGGCGCTTTGCGGATCAGTCAGCAAGAGTGGTGTTGTCATGGGGATGTGTACACAGAGCACCTGGGAACAGGGTTTCTTTCAAGAAGCGTCTGCTGTGAGTTAACTCCCCAGAAGTCAGCAGAGGCGCTGGGGAGAGCGGGGTGTTCCTGAAGAGGCAGGAGGCCTTCAAGGACACCATGCTTGCACTTCAGGCGCTCTTGCTGTTGGTTGCCACCGCCGGTGAGTGTTCTGTTTTGTTGCTGTGAAATAATTACCTGGGCGTCTACCACTCGGTTTGGTTTTGCTTTCTTCAATAACTTCTAAGCATCGGTTGTTGAAACTAGCAAGTGCTCTGGGGCTGTATCTTAGAACAGTCTGTGTTTCAGGCCACACATTCTTACCAGGGCAGATGACAGCAGTGAAAATAGCTGCCGACCGCTTGATGGGAATCTTGTGAAAGCAGCAGCCAATGAGCTATCATGGTCACCTTTCAGGGTCAGCATCAGAAAGAAGCTGGGGTCAGGAGCCGGGGCTGGGGCTGAAACTCGGGCACTGGGATGCTGGGTGGATGCTTCTAACTGGCATGTTCACGATGAGGCTACACCTCTGTCACTTTTTTTAAAAAAAGATTTATTTTATTTTAATGGAAAGGCAGATACACAGAGAGGAGGAGAGACAGAGAGGAAGATCTTCCATCTGTTGATTCACTCTCCAAGCGGCCCCAACGGCTGGAGCTGAGCCAATTCGAAGCCAGGAGCCTCTTCTGGGTCTCCCATGTGGGTGCAGGGTCCCAAGGCTTTGTGCCATCCTCCACTGTTTTCTGAGGCCACAGGCATGGAGCTAGAAGGGAAATGGGCCGCTGGAATTAGAATCAGCTTCCATATGGGATCCCAATAAGTTCAAAGTGAGGAACTTAGCCACTAGGCTACTGCGCCGGGCCCCTACCTGTTGCTTTTAAGCACTTGATTGCAGCTAGTCTGCGTTAGGACATGCTGTAAATATAAAATACATGCTGGATTAAACTTTTTGTGTGTGAATGAGAGATTAAAAAGCTGTTATTAACATTTTAAAATGTTGACAGTGTATTGAAGTGGTAACATGTTAAATACATTGCGTTAAATAAAATATTAAAATTATTTTTACCCACTTTTAAAACCTTTTAAAATTTTTGATTACTAGAACATTTCAAATTACATATTGGACAGAGCTGGTCTATACACTTAGAAAGAATTTTTAAAAAATATTAAAATCTGGACCCGGCGGCGTGACCTAGCAGCTAAAGTCCTCGCTTTGAATGTGCCGGAATCCCATATGGGCGCCGGTTCTAATCCCGGCAGCTCCACTTCCCATCCAGCTCCCTGCCCGTGGCCTGGGAAAGCAGTCGAGGACGGCCCAAAGCCTTGGGACCCTGTATTCGTGTGGGAGACCCAGAAGAAGCTCCTGAATCCTGGCTTCGGATCAGCATAGCATGGACCGTTGTGGTCACTTGGGGAATGAATCATTGGACGGATCTTCCTTTTTGTCTCTCCTCCTCTCTGTATATCTGACTTTCCAATAAATAAATAAATCCAAAAAAATTAAAATCTGCTATACTGTACATACACCTTTTTTTTTCTTTTGAGATTTAAATTGCAAGTGAGTTGATCAGATCAACTCAGCAGGTGGAGCATTTGGTAAAAGCAAGGATCTAGTGAAATCAAATTTCAGTTTAATTTGTTCTATTTTCTGTTTGTACAAAGATTTATTTCTTTATGTATTAAGCAGAGCAGGGGCTTGAGGATGAAGAGTGAATTGGGTTGATGCTGCAGAGGTGCTAAGCTGTCCTTTTATTTTTTTAAAAAATCAGTTTGTTTGTAAGTTAGAGTTACAGGGAAACAGAAAGAGATCTTCCACCTGCTGGTTGGCCGGACGGCCACAGTAGCCAGGGCTGGGCCGGGCTGAAGTCAAGAGCTTCTTCCAGATCTCCCACCTGGGTGGCAGGGATCCAAATACTTGGGCCATTTTCTGTTGCCTTTCCCAGCTATTAACAGGGAGCTGGATCAGCAGCGATACAGCTGAGACACAAACCTGCTTGCATATGGGATGCTGGCATTGCAGGTGTCAGATTGTCCAGCTATATCACAATGCTGAGCCCTGGATGAAGACTTTTAAAAAAATTATTAATTATTTTTACTTTTGATGAGTTTTTCATAGTTGAGTTGGGTGATTAGGGTCAAGGGCTACAGGAAGGTGGGTGAGATCACCATTTCCTCATTCACTTTTTTTCCTTCCTGTATCTGGGGGGGAGGGGAGACAAGGAGAGAAGCCACACCCAGCCTCCCAAATGCCTCTGCACTCTGGGATGGAAGAGAGCCTTCCCTGGCAGGGAAGGTACCGTGATCACAAAAACTTGTATATTAAACCTCGAATCATAAATGGCCCACAAGAGGTTTTGGATATCGGAAGATTTGCATAAAAATCTCTGCTTCAGGATCATCATGAAAAATAATATGTGAACCCAGCTCACCTTCCTATAGTAGCTGAGTATTTGCTACCAGCCCCTGTTAGCTGGGAGCCAGCTTTCGGTTTTACCGTGGTCCCCAGCACTCCCTCATGTCCGTCACCTAGCTGTCAGGTATTGTGTGATCCTCTACTAAAGGAGCACAATCAGCCTTTTTAAGTTTCCTCTTGCACGTAGATACACAGATGTAGATGAATTTCCAGCCTTCCATGAACACAGGTCTATACTTAAAAGCATTGGTTACTAGCTTTTCTTTTTTGGCCCAGATCAGTAGCTGATTGGCTAAAGTCCTTGCCTTCTATGCACCAGGATCCTATATGGGTGCTGATTCTAATCCCAGCAGCCCCGCTTCCCATTCAGCTCCCTGATTAGGGCCTGGAAAAGCAGTGGAGGACGGCCCAAAGCCTTGGGACCCTGCATCCGTGTGGGAGACCTGGAGGAAGTTCCTGGCTCCTGGCTTCGGATTGGCTCAGCTCCTCACTTGCAGAGTGAATCATCAGTTGGAAGATCTTCCTTGTGGTCTCTCCTCCTCTCTGTATATCTGACTTTCCGATAATAATAATAATAGTAAGTAAATCTTTAAAAAAAGTTCAAATAACTATGTAGATATTGTCTCCCCTTGGAGTAGAAAATTGTTTACCGTGCAGTATAAAAAGTTGATGTTTTCCCTCAAGGGCAAAGGTCAAAACACCTATTGTTTGTTTTCTAAGCTCTGGGTTTGTTTATTGTGATACAAATATATATGCCTGCCCAGCGTTCACCTGGACCACTCCCCCACCCCTAACCCCCACTCCTGTACCACAAGGTCATGCTGGTTGTTGTGCCCTGAATAATGAAGTTCTCTCTGACCCCGAAGTCTGAGGTCTTTAATGAAAAGTGTGGAAAGCTAACTTGTACCTTGCAAGGAGGGTAAGTTCTCTGACCCTTCAGAATTCTCCATGACCCTACTAAGCCAAGTCAACTGATTTTTAAGCTTTCTGAGGTTAAAAAAATATTAAATATAAATAGCATTTTTGCTTTGATGGTTTTAAAATAAGATTGGAAAGTCTTTACAAAAATCGTCGTTAAAAAAAAAATCAAATTTTGTTCTCCTTAAGATGTTCTAGCTTTTGTAAATCTTACCGTGGAGGTTGCCAGCCCTATTCCGGAAAATGCCTCGGAACACACACAAGTCGCTAAAATCACTGTGTCTGTCTCATCTCGTGGTTCGCTGCTTGGAGATCCAGTTATTAATGCAAATCCTGCAGTCCATCCATTTGTGCTGTCTCGTAGATCCACGCACCAGTGGGGTGTAAGTATGCAGCCAAACAGTGTTATCCTTTAGTACTATTAGGGCTCAAAAGTGAGTCTGCCTCATTTTCCCTTCCACTAAGTAACCAGTTTGCAGACATTCACTGGGACCCTATTTTGTGTCAGACACTAGAAATCCTTGGAGACATCAAGGAGCATTTATTTTACAAATTACCTTCATAGCCTTTACAGGTTCGTGAAAAACATGTTAATCAGCTGAGCGTGCATACGAGTACAAATTAATAAGTGTGATAATAGCTATGACAGTGAAGGCTCACAGGTATGTAAGAATAGCGAAGGAGACAATTGATCTAGTCAAGTTTCCCCGAGAAACAGCGGCATGAAAAAAAAATTTACAGCATGGAGGGAAATTGAATAGAAGAAGAGCAGAGAACAAGACCCAGTTAGAGGTACATGGGATGGCCTCATCAGGAAATGACATGGGGAGAAAGAGGAGAGAGCAGTGCTACAGGAAGGAGCTGGAAGAGACGCTTGGAGAGACAATACACTGGAGGTGGGAGTTTGTGACCCAGTTAGGAAGTTTTGTTTAGCCAATTTCTGGTTCAGGAGTACAGCGTGGGAAGGATGTTCATTGTAAGGGATTTGGGTTTCCAGAGACCAGGGTTCCTCCAGGGTGATCCAAGCCCAGGGGTTACGTAGCATGGCATTCACGTGGGCTGCTCTGCATTGAGTTCTGAGAGTGGGAGAAGCAAATCACCATGAATTTGATTCTTCTTCTGCTTGCTGGGGCAAGAACAATGAAGTCCTTAAGAGCAATATGTTGTTTAGTGACCTAGCTTAGTGTCTTTCACGCTTACCATTTTTTCTTCTTTTTAAAATAAGATTTATTTATTTTTATTGGAAAGTCAGATATGCACAGAGGAGGAGACAGAGAGAAATAGCTTCCATCCGCTGATTCACTCCCCAAGTAGTTGCAAATGCTGGAAACTGAGCTGATCTGAAGCCAGGAGCCTGGAGCCTCTTCCTGGTCTCCCATGTGGGTGCAAGATCCCAAGGCTTTGGATCACCCTCAACTTTTTCACTAGGCCACACACAGGGAGCTGGATGGGAAGTGGGGCTGCTAGGACACAAAGTGGTGCCCATATGGGATCCCAGTGCATGGAAGGCAAGGACTTTAGCTACTAGACTAGTGTGCTGGGCCCATGCCCTTTTTAAAATAGGCAAAAGGAAGAGAGCAAAAGGAAAATTGCAATACCATGACTTCAGAAACACATTGTTTCGTATCTCATTGGCTAAAGCACCTCATATATCCAAGCCATGGTGTAGAGAGATGGACCTTGTTACTCGAAGGGACAGCAAAGGAGATGAATGCAGAAAGGGACAGAGCCCTAGAGGCATAAACCTTCCACATCTGAGAAAGCCCTGAGGAGTGTTTCAGAGAAGAGACATGCTTGCATTTGAAGAGAACTGCTCTAGCTGTGAAGTGGAAAGGAGATCATTTAGGGGGAGAGTGATTTCCTGAAGACTCTTGTCCGTGATTACTGCCCTCAAACTTTCCAGTGTGCTGCCAACTTCAGTTGGGTGTCAAATGCTATTGCAATCTCTTTCGTAGATTTTTTTGTTGTAAATTGTAAGTGGCAGCAAAGTGGCAGCAAACTTGTTCGATACTTGTTGTCTTGTTTATTTGTTTTGGAGGTGGTCACGAGCACAGGTGCTCTAATCACAGATTCAGAGGTCTGACAAACCCACTTTTTAACCATGACTCTTTAGCTGATAGCTGCAGGATCACGGGCGAGTTCCTTGACTTTGCTGTGCTTTGGTTTTCCTTCCTGTATAATGAGATCAACAACAACAGTATCACCTAGCTCGGAATTTGAGAAGAATGTCCCATGAGATAATACATGCATAGCATCATGTTTGTGGCTGATTCGCAGCAAGCAATTAGCACACTATGGCTGTTGCTCTAATATATGCATTTTTACTTCAGCATTCATATGGTTGTTGCCAGATTATAGATAAAAATAATAAGAGGTGGTTGCATTATCACAGGCATAGCTATGTGATGATATAACATAGATGAGTGCTAGGCAGTATTAGAACCAGTTTAATTATGAAAGAGTTATAGCACGGAAATGCACTTGCAGATAAGGTCTGAATGAAACGAGTTAGCATCCACTTCTGCTGGATTATGGTAGAAAGAGGAATAATCTGTTCTATGTGGTCTTCAGCATATCGTTACTCTCCGTTGAAGTTCCTTCCTTGCACCTTATTAGCTTGTTTGGTTTATCAAAAACTGATTGAGCTTAGGAGGAGTGACCGTGCAGCAGTCAGACCACAACGCCATCACTGTCAGACAGATGCCCAAGTAGTCTCCTAGAGAAGCAACAGCAAAAAATAGCAAAAGCTTAAAGTGAACTGACTAGAGAGCTCAATCAATGGAAATGAGACAAGGTAAGCTGTAGTTATGTGATCTGCAAATTGCTACCTGTCATGGAGCAACATAAATGAACATGCATAGGCAGGATGCGAAATGAACCCCAATTATCTTCTGTATGTGCACTCCTATTGCATGGATGGGCACATCCAACCAGAGATTTAAACCACATTTCTTTCAAAGGAAGCAGCAGAGAATATTCACTTTCATTAGTTGAACAAACACTTGTTGAAAACCGGTGCGGAACCTGGTACTCCATAAGATACGAGGAAGTGAGAGGAAGACCGTCGCTGCCCCTGTGCTCCTCCTGGCATGGCGGGGACAGCCTGGGGTCTGCGTTGTGCTCCTTGGCTGAGTTTTTCAAATCAGGCCATTGTGTTGAATTAACGTATCAGGGATCCTTAGTGTGTGAAGAATAGAAAAACAGGTCAGAACAGAGTGCAGGTTTATTTTAAATATAGTTTCTGCTGCACTTGGGTGTTGCTGCTAGCAGCAGTGCTGAGACTCACGGAAAAGGGTCAGATTCAGGTTCTCTCTTTTTGCACTATGAATTTTGAGCTCCACTATATAATCTAAGCTTCAGTTATCTCATTTGTGAAAGACTCATAATCAGAATATTTACCTGTAGATCTGTTTTGGTGATTAAATTGATTGGATGAGAGGGATATGTTACACTGAAAGTACTCAACAAATATTATCTTGCAATTGTGTTAGGCTGCCAAGATAGACTTTTTTTTTAAAGATTTATTTTATTTTTTTATTGGAAAGGCAGATATACAGAGAGGAAAGACAGAGAAGAAGATCTTCCGTTTGATGATTCACTCCCCAAGTGAGAGCCGATGCTATGCTGATCCGAAGCCAGGGCCCTCTTCCGGGTCTCCTGCGTGGGTGCAGGGTCTCAAAGCTTTGGGCCATCCTCTGCTGCCTTCCCGGGCCACAAGCAGGGAGCTGGATGGGAAGCAGGGCTGCCGGGATTAGAACTGGTGCCCCTATGGGGTCCCAGGAGTGCAAGGTGAGGACCTTAACCACTGCGCCACCGTGCCAGGACCCGATAGACTTTTTTTTTTTTTTAAGAGTCACTGATCTGGACCCAAGAGATAACCTGGTGGCTAAATCCTTGCCTTACATCTGCTGGGATCTCACTCAGGTGCCAGTATACAGGAGTCGGTTCTGTCCCAGCTCCTGCAGTTCCCATCCAGCTCCCTGCTTGTGGCCTGGGAAAGCAGTTGAGGACGGCCCAAAGCCTTGGGACCCTGCATCTGTGTGGGAGACCTGGAAGAAGCTCCTTGCTCCTGGTTTCAGATCAGCTTAGCTTTGGGGAGTGAACTAGCAGACAGATGTCTGTCTCTGTGTGTATCTTGTTCTCTCTGAATATCTGCCTCTCCAATAAAAAAATACAAATAAAACTTGGAAAAACTTTAAAAAGAATAAAAAAATAAAATAGAGTTACTGATCTCTTACTGAAAGGCAAACTCATTAGGTGAAAGCAGTGTGATTAAGAGCATGGATTGTGGTGTTAGATTTGTGTTCACATCCTCTTTTTATTCCTTGATGAATGATCTCTCTATTCTTTCTTCTTCTTTTGTCGAGTAGGCACACTAAGCCTACTAAAAGTAGTGCCATTTTTGCAGTGAAATGATGTATCTGATATTAAACACTTGCTTTTGACAATGCATGTTAGCTGCAAGTTTTGTCTTAGAGTTCAGCATTATGATTGACAAGGGGTTCATGTTTAGGCATGGAACATCAAAAGACATGTATTTATACCTCTCTCGTGCAAAATGCTACCACTTAACAAAATATTGGTCTTCAGCCAGCTTCACAAATAAGCATTCTCTAACCCAGTATTGTGCAGAAATGGAAAGAATGTGAGGCATACAGAGTTTTAATGGCTCTCGCGTAATGATTGAGGAATCTGAGTCAGAGGCCAACATTTGGAGCTGTTTCATTCTTGAGCTGGAGCTTAGATTCCTTTCTCTTGACTCCTAACCCTAGGACTGCACGAACAGAGCAATTTTAAAAAACCGCAAATGAGGTGTGTGGTGACTGATCAGAGGAGGGACAAGAGGGCATTTTCTGCCTTTCCATCCGTGTCAGGTCCTGGGCAGGTCAGGTTTACGATCGAGAGGATGAGAATGAAGTCAGATGGAGTCCAGGTGCATTCTGTTTGTATGTGTGAGAACACGATCAGGGAAGTTGATCTCTGTGAGTCTCCGTTTCTACACCTGTGAAATGCACTTGCGGAAGGACAGAATGAAGTGCTTGACAAATTAAGATGGAAAAGGGGCTTGATAGAGAGTTTCAGAAAGGACCACTGGAAGCTGGGGAAGAGGTGGGGAAAACATTTGATATAATATCAGTGAATTCCTTAGTCATGAAGGCTTTTAATAAGTACATGATTTTCATATCCTTTAAAAGTGAGCGTTAATCTTGGGAACTAGAGCTCAAGAACCCTGCATGTACGACTGCATGAAGTTAGTCATTTTTTTTTCTTTCCCATTTAGTTATTCACCACTGGAGTCCCCAAGCTAGACTTTGAGATGGTGTCGTTGTATTCCCTGATGATCCATGCCCGAGACACGCACGGGGCCACAGCATCACAGACCATTTCAATCCAGATTGCAGATGTGAATGAGCCACCTGCTTTCACTGGATCGCTTGCCCGGGAAGACCAAGGTATGAAGGCTCTCCTCTCACTGTGAATGGAAACATCCACATAGAGTCATGGTTATGCTAGTGATAAGGAAAGCAGTTGTATCAGCAGTAGGGATGGATGGGGGGCTCTTACTGGGAACTAACCATGTGTGTTAAGCATTGTACAAGAACAGCGCATTATTGCATTTCATACTCAGAGCGCTGGAGGTCAATTCTGTGCTGTTTCCAGTGTACAGATAATCAGGTAGAGAAAGGTAAAAGTTTCTTGCTCAGTGCTGAAAATCATTTGTTTGTGTTCTTCTGTTATTTTACCAATGAACCAGCTTCAGAAACAAGCATTCCTTTTTTATTTTAAAGATTTGTTTATTTTTATTGCAAAGTCAGATATATACAGAGAGGAGAGACTGAGAGAAATATCTTCTGTCCAACGATTCACTCCCTAAGCAGCTTCAGTGGCCGGTGCTGTGCTGACCTGAAGCCAGGAGCCCAGATCCTCTTCTGAGTCTCTCACGCAGGTGCAGGATCCCAAGTTTTGGGCTGTCCTTAACTAGTTTCCAGGTCACAAGTAGGCTGGATGGGAAGCAGGGCTGCTGAGATTAGAACTGGCGCCCATGTGGAATCCTGGTGCATTCAAGGCGAGGACTTTAGCCGGTAGGCCATGGTGCCGGGCCCCGAAATAAGCATTCCTTAACCTGTGTTGTGCAGAAATAGAAAGAATGAGAGTCATATAGAACTTAATTTTGTCATTATTTAGTTAACAGCGTGTTTATATCACTAAACTTAAAGGTTGCTGAGGACAGGGGCTATGTCTTAATGCTCTGTCTTGGTCTGCTGGTTTTTTTGGGCCAAGTATGGATGTGTTTGTTTCTCTCTTATTTCTCATTTCTGCTTTTTCAGTGTAGTCACATGTTTTAAAATGGTTACATGTAGATGATCCCTGTTCTCCGAGGTTCAGATGTTGGGAACAAGTTGCTTGGCCCGTGTAAGTTTCAGTTTCCTGACTGAGCTTTCAGTTTCCCTACTGGCTGAGCTGCATAATTAATCTTGTCTTGATGAGCCAGACTCCTGTGGCAGGGGGCCAGGCACACAACCCAGGCTCAGTTGCAGTTTCACACACAGATGATAAACTCCGGGGCAGATCCGAGGTCAGATTGTTTCTCTGGTTTTCTGAACACAGAGTCCAGTGCCAGAGTGTCGTGGGTACTCCGTGGATCATCCACTGTGCTTACTACAACCTAAGCTTACTTGGTGCATCTCCTTGTGTTCACAAATCCTGCTCCCTTGACCAAATGGGACCATAGGTTTTCCCTTGTATTCTCAAGGATCTTGCACCACTCCAGAATTTCTGATCACCCAAGAGTGGCTTGATTAACGAAGTTTGAAAACATATTGAAGCGGGGAAAAGTTAACAGAAAATGAACCAAATGATTGGACAATGTGAATGTGCTGGTGTCTGTGTGATGGGTGTGGAAGACAGGAAGGTGTGGTAGAATATTGTTCCACTGCAGGCAGGGCCGCAAGGAATTTCCCGCTGTGTGGCAGGGCCGGGAGGATGTCTCTGCAACCACCCGAATGCAGCTCCACCTCCCTTTGCATGGACACCAGACCATCACGCTGAGAACCCTGTAATCTATTCAGGCATTGTCTGCCTCTGCAGAGTTAATGTTTACTACCAATGTGAGCTTGGAAGTTGATGTTGCTGATACCTTTTAGCCAAAGGGCCTTTTATTATTGCTGCCCCCACTGACCATATACTAATCAAGGGTGTTACCTCTCCAGGTGTAGTGGGAATCTATTCTTTCCCTCTTTCCTTGATCTTTAGGTCCTTCCTTCTGTGATGCATTTCCTCCTTTAACTGATTCAAGATTAAGTTGTAGAATGAGGATTGTAGTAGGAATGTGTTGCTGATTGATATGCACCATCTATTGAGAACTTCCTGACCACAGGGTCGGGATGGATAACATCCTGCTTTAAGGTGAAACAAACGGTAGAATTATCCTTAGAAACACCCACTTGACCATGACGTAAAATGTCTGAGCCAGAGTTTGACTGGTTCTGTATAAATAAAGCGGACAGCTGTCATGCATTGTCCACGATGATCATGGAATTGTAGTGGTCCATTTCGTCTCTCTTTTTGTGCCTCATCCACATACCCCTCTTGAGTTCTGTTCTCAGCTGGAGCTGGAATCCGGCATTAATGTATTACCAGGATATCCCTGAATTAGTTATTCAAACTTTATAAACCTCATTAAAAGGGAAATAATAATAAAGTCACCAGTGATGTTGTCTTTAGCAGTTAAGAAGCATGCAGAAAAGGGTTAACGTTGTTTGTACATTCTAGGGCTGGTATTGTGGCAAAGTAGGTTAAGCCACTGCTTGCATAGCTGCCATTCTACATTGGAGTGCTGGTTAGAGTCTAGGCTGCTCCAGTTCTGATCCAGCTTCTGATATCACACATACAAGTAGAGACCTGGATGGATTCTTAGCTCCTGGCCTGGTCCAGACCTGGGAGTTGCAAGCATTTGGGGAGTGAACCAGTAGATGTAATACCTCTTTTTTTGTCTCTTTCTCTGTCACTTTGCCTTCCAATAAAAAAATAAAATCTCATAAAAATTTATCAGTGTCTGACAGCACTGGACACAGACACCGGGTAAGTTGTTATTGTTACTGCCATCATTGGCGTAGTGGTGGTTACCTTAAAAACATATCCTTGCTGAGCAGGTGACATGCTTTCAGTTTTATGTAAAATCCAGGACTGGATGAGGGATTTGGGAACTTATGGTGTTGATGTTCATTCAGTTATATCCACTGTATGCTTTCTGGCAGTTACTGAGATTTATATCCTTGAAGACACTGCCCCGGGCACGGTCATTTACAGAGCAGCCGCCAAGGACCCAGAGGATGGTGTTTTGGAGGTAATTCATATTTTGGGAGAGAGAACATCAGTGCTGCTTAGTGGTTTTATGTGCGATTGAATTCAACTCTAAAGGCATGGAGACAGCCATGTCAGTTACATCTGCCATTCAAACACACCTTATGCCTTAATTACTAAGACATTGCAGGGGGAAATGATTGAGGTCTGGCTTGTGTGGGGAATTGCTTCCCTTCTAGCACATTCTATTCTGTGCAGGCAGATTTTGGCTAATCCTTAGGTAACTTTTAACACAAGATGCCAAGTCATTGCATTTAATTCCTGTGGATCTTGGCTGCCCACCACACAAAGGAGCAATCCCAGTTGCTGGCAGAATTAAGTTGTGTTTCACAACTCAAAGTCTCACTCACAGGCGTTCGACTGATCCAGTGTAGGAGGGAAGTGTGGACTTAATGCCTTGAGTTTATGAGTTGATGTGAGTTTATGTCTTGATTTCACTGCGGCAAATTACTGAGTATTTCTGCTTTGCTGTTTTAAGTGTAAAATTGGAAAAATGATACCTGCTTTGTCTTCTCATCTAGTGTTTGCTCTCATTAGAATCCAATAAAAGAGTGAATGTTGAAGTAGTTTTTGAACTGTAAAATGTCTCACCAATGATAAGAGTAATATTAATGCCCTAGAGTTTGATGACAGAGTGTGGCTGTGATGTTAATGGATTATAATGATAGTAGTTAATGGATTGCTAGGTAAGAATAAAATATTTTTAATAATGTCTTGCTTGAACAAACTGTCTAAAACAAGTAGATCACACATATTGGTGATATACTTTCAACATTTAAAAATAATTGATCATTACAATCAGATCCTTGTTTTATGCAACTTGAATCTTCTACAATTCTAAATTGTAGATTATCATTAACAGCTGAGGCATCGTTGACAAGCATTCTCAAACAGTTGGAATGGCAAGTTGGCCTAGGGGTTAAAATGGCTGTTGTGTTCCATCCTGGTGTGCTGGGTTTAAACTTCAGCTTTGGCTTGTGATGACAGCTTTTCAGTAAGCACCAGGTGATGGACTAAGTGGTTGAGCTCCTGTCACACACTCAGGAGATCTAGCTTGAGTCTCCTGGTTCTGGATCTGGCCAAGCCAAGTCCTAGACTTTGTAAATATTTGGGGAATGAATGAGAAATTTAGGGTTTTGTTTGTCTTTTTCTGTTACCCTGCCTCTCGGGTACGTACAAAACAGTGAATAACAATTTTAAGTGTTAAATACATTTGACTGGTTGAACAAAGAAACACTGCTGTCGTCACATTCCCTTCCCTGCTACATTCGTCACTTAGTCCTCCTAGTAGCACAACAACACATTTGAGATGGGACTGGAAAGGTCACAGCTTCCCTTACAACGTACAATTAAGCCACCTAATCATGCACATTGCTCCAAATCAATGCGTTCAAGATTATAGCATTGAACACCACACTGACTGAGCAGCTCTAGCCACACAGGAGTCAGCTGCATTACAGTTGCTTCCTCTGTGATCCCTATGGCAGCTCACCCCTCACGTTGACATTGTAGGGTGGAAAATGTGTTACAACCCAACAGCATTTAGCTGTGGTTATAACATGCAATCAAAAATGACTTACTAGCCAATTAACACAAATAATTCATTTCAAATGAAAGACTCCCAAATGTTTTCTTCTACGGATTAAATGCTTCTGGCTCTGGCCCCATACTTTTCTCAGAAAACAGTCGGTTTCTGGGCCATATTTGGAAGGCCTGTGCATTGTTTTCTGCAAGTTTTACACAACAAGGGATGACATTTCAGTGTGACAAAGACTGTGGAACATTGTTTAAACACACTCCTACACACATCCTGGTGACACAGTTGATTCGAGCAGGTGTGTTATTCAAGAACCCAGGACTGGGTAACCACCTTTGTCTGAGCCTTTGTACTGATTGAGAGAAACACTGATTCCAGTGTGGAGAAAGATTGCCATATTTTAGAAATTGACTTACACTGATGATAGTAATAATAACAGTAACTGTAGTATTTATTAGTAACTAAGTGTTTATTATACGCAGACATATATTTTAGTTATCATTGAACTCCTGATCACTGAAGGAGGAGCTGTTGTGTGCTGATAGTACCTACAGAGTTGATAAATTAAAATACTATGTCTTTAATTTATAGAAAAGGAATACAAGGCAAGTAGAGACTAAGTAAGTATGCCTAAATAGTAAATAATGTATTTAGAATTAAAATTGATGTCCATGTTTTCTCTGAATCTTGCCTATATTCTGTCATCTTACAAATTCCCGATGTGCATTTCACAAAGTGCAAGTTTCATCAGAGATCTCTGAGAGAAATGAGAGATCTTATGACCAAAGGATATGACTTCACAATACATGGCATATAAATGCCTTTTAGAATGATCTAATAGAGCTATGTTAATTCAGATTCATCCTCAACATTTGCTGTAGCATATTCAACAAACACAACATTGTTAGCATTTCAAGTAAATGTCCAACATTTCTCAGGGCAGAATGACTGCATTGGATCATGCTGTAAAATTGATATGATGTGTCCTCACCCTGGGGTTGTTAGAATGATGAAAGATGAAATTCTAGGTGAGGCATAGCCAATAAAGTAATTGCTGTTTAAACATTAGTGAAATCACACTGGATTTCATTCATATTTAGACCCACCTGAGTATTGAGACTAAGACTTTTTATGTGTTAGCAGCATTGCTCCTGCACATATTAAGAATACCTGACATGACAGTTCAAGCAGTATTGTGAGCTATAGAAAAATTTGTATTTATTTCTTACAGTATGTAAAAGGTGAACAAAATGGAATAAAACAACTTTTGTTGAATCTGTCGTGGTAAACTGCCACCCAAAAATATGGAGATAAGTGAAACCTGAGAGGCACAGTCACAGAAGCTTCTCTGGGGAAGAAGCTTCTGGAAACATAGACTGGTAGGAAGACTCTCCAGTAGTCTTGATGAATGAGTGCTCAGTTTGGACTAGCTTGAGATTAGGAAACTCCTGGATACTGTTGGTCATTTGATGGTTTTGACCACCTGTAGTTCCCTGAGTTTCTCATCATGAAGATGCAAGAAGGATCTGCTTGCGTCTCTGAGAGAAGAAGGTCAGGATTTTCTCTACAATGAAGGCCAGTTTTGCAGGGTTAATGACTTTGCTGAACCTTGTCTCAACAGAATAAACACATGTATTCATGCACATGTATTCATGCATGTGTAGACTTAAACACCCATGTCCCTAGACGTCTAATATTCAGTTAACCAAACAAGCAAAAATGCGAAACAAAGAAAAGCAAAACGTCTTGAAAGGAAAAAACATGTTATCCATAGAGGAACAGTTATAGCCAATTTCTCACCAGAAACTCTGTAAACAAACCACTATTTGAATGCAGTAGTTGAAGTGTTGAGGAAAAAAAGCCAGTAACTTTGTACACAATGAAGTTATATTCAATTACAAAATTGCGTACTTTAAATATATATATGTAATTGTCAAATATACTTCAATTTTAGAAAAAGCAAATGAGTACTGAAAACTTCTTCAGATAGACACATACTGAGAAAATTCATTCCAGATATTGTCCCTGAAAACAGTTAAAGGAACTTTCATAAATGGAATAAAGTTTGTCAAAGAGATAGAAAATGATGAAGAACTTGTGTCCATACACTGAAAGGAAGTATTTCAGAGGAGAATGAAATGAAAGTAAAATATGTGAGTTGATCTAAAAGGCAACTTTATTTAATAGTAACAAGATGTTGAAGATTATGGCATATAGATTATAGATAAAATAAATGAATGGGGGTAGGGACAGAATAAGAACATTCTGTAATAAACTATACACTATGAAGTGATATAGTGCTGTTTGAAGCTACACTTAAATTAGTTAAGGGTGTTATTGGACATTGTGAGGCAATAAATAGAACACGTAAAAATGTAACTAATGCTAAGAGAGGATATAAAATGGAATCATATGCAATGCTCAGTTAAAAGAGAAAAGAGGGGTGGGCACTGTAGCCTGTGTAAGAGTACCTGGGCTGTGTCCCTGGCTCAGGCCCCTGATACCCATGGGGGCTCCATACCCATGCAGACCCACTTTAATTGTAAGAGTTCACATGGGTTAAACAGGTAAAAGGATGGATAAAGAGATGCTTGCGCATAGCAATCCAGGGAAAGCTGAGGTAGCTTATCAGTTCAAACAGGGAAGGGAGGATGCATAGCTAGTGAATGAGCGGATAGGCCAGGTTATTGATGTCTTGGTTGCAAATTGGGATGATTAAAAATGACTGTACCCCGCTCTCTTCCCATGGAGAGGTAACGGGATTCCCCAGATGGTCTAATTCTTTCCCCATGTTTCAGTGTCTCACTGGGTCTTCTCAGTTCCACCTGGACTCTGCTTGTCCCACTCCATCACCCATACTGTCAACCACATTCCACACCTTGCCCGTGTGATCTTCTTGCCCTTCCTGACTTGAGATAAGGTGGTTGCAAGCATCTTTCCTTATTGCTTTTTCCCATGAAAAGTCTGTTTGGAAATCTTGATATTACCCCAGTTAAATTCTTCTTGAAAAAAATCCTACTTTTAAGGCAATTACAGATGCTTCTGACTCATGCATTATAAGTAATAGAAGGAAATTATCTTGCTCTTTATTGTAGCTGGTGGTGAAATCAGGCTATCCTTAGCAGGCACCTTTGGAAGTAGTGTGTGCTATCTTAGGCTGTCTGTGAAAACAGTCCATTAGCACCACATGGGAGTAAGTTCAGATTTTTGGGACAAACTGCTGAGTTGGGCTATGGCCAGATTAGAAGAGTCAGAGGATAATGAAAAATGTGGCTGAGATATAGTAGTGCTATTTTCATGAAATAAACTTTCACATCTCCATATCATGATAAAAATGTTACTTCATTCAAATTGCCCCCAAATTAGTGACAGCCTTAGAATATAAATCTTCAGATACGTAGTTGCAGTTTGTGTGTTCCATACATTTTTATTTTTCTTTATGTAGA